TTTGACTTACTGTTTTGTTTTCCTTTAAAAAAAGAAAAACTTGTTTTTCTACTATCATGTCTTTTCCTTCACAAACAGTGGCTGTAGTAGTTTCTGGACACCAGTAAATAGCAAGTATCTAAGGCAGTGCGGTTGTCAACCGTCCTAACGCCACAACCCTTTAATCTAGCTCCTCATGCTGTGGTGACCCCAACCATAGAATTATTTTCATTGCTACTTCATCACTGTGATTCTGCTGCTGTTATGAATCGTAATGTAAATATCTGTGGTTTCCGATGGCCTGAGGCGACCCTGCTAGCGGCTCTCAGCCTGTGGGCCGCAGCATTAGACAGGCTGAGAACCGCTGCCTTAGAGCCGATTGGCAGCAGAGCACAGAGTGGATGAGAGAGAAGAGCCCTAAAGCCTGGGAGCGCCATGAGTTATTGGATCCGTTGGGGTGAAGTGATAGGGCTGACTCGGGTATAGGAATAGGAATGGGGCTGGGGAGCTCTAGGTCAAATGCTGTGGGCGTGAAGCCTGCTCAGGTGGGCAGTGGGGAGAAGAGTCAGAGGCAGCGCTGATGAGCCTGGTAGCTAGGATCAGAGTCTGTTCCTTCCTTCAGTGGTTCCTAGTTAAGAAAGAGGAGCCATATGCTCCCAAAGTTATTTGTCTGAGAAGTTCTCCAAACAAAGTCTGGACGTGGAGAAAATTTACATCCAGGGCTTGGATGATTATGAGGCCAAAGAAGCATTTGATTGCACCCAGATTTCTAACTAGGACGGCGCGAGTGATTCTCCTAAGACAGAAAATTGAAGGGGGAGGGGCGGTCCTCACCAGTAGATTGTGTTAGGAAGGCAGAACTAATGTTTTCTTAAATGAGTAAGTTTCAAGTTCCAAAGGCCTAGTCAGGTGTGTGTGTGTGTGTGTGTGTGTGTGTGTATGTATATGTATCCTATATAATAAAAGGCTAATATGCAAATTGTCCCCTTGACCAGGAGTTCAACCTGCAGGCAGGCTGGCCAACTGCCCATGTCCCCTCCCCCTGGCCAGGCTGGCTGGACCCCACCCATGCACAAATTCATGCACCGGGCCTCTAAGATACACACACACACACACACACACACACACATTTAGTGGCCAGATTATTATGAGTTTAGAGATCATAATAATCTGGCCACTCGGTGTATATATGAGCACCTGGTCTGATGCTTAAGAGAAAGATTTGTGTGGTGGTGCATGGTGATTGAGATTTATATACTAAGCATGATACTGAGCAATTTGTATTCACTTATTTAATCTTCACAACAACCCCATAAAGTGGGGATTGTCATTACTTCTGTTTTATAGATGAATAAACTGAGGTACAGAGCTGTAAAAGTAAATTGCCTGGCTAGGTTTGGGGCAGATTTGTGAGTAATTACCATGTAGGTGATTGGTTAAAATCTTGCCAATAAAATCTCAAATGGCCCTGGTCTGTGTGCTCAGTGGTTAGAGTGTTGGCCCACTGAAGGGTCTCAGGTTCGATTTCTGATCAAGAGCACATTCCTGGGTTGCAGGTTCCATTCCCGTCCCCAGTGGGGCGCCTACGGAAGGCAACCAATCTGTGTCTCTCTCACATCGATGTTTCTTTTTTCTCTCTTTGCCTCCCTCCATTCTTTTCTTCCCTCCCCTCCACCCCCCATATCAATGGAAAAATACTCTCGGCTGAGGATTAACAACAACAAACCCACATCTTGTCAGGTATTTTAAAATGGATAGTAGGCTATTGAAGTATTTGAGATCCTTGATTGTTCCAATGAAATATTTTCTCCTGGGAGCAGATTATAGTTGTCAGATTTTAGCAAGATTAGCTTTAAAGGCAGACCCTTACTTGATAAAGGAAAAAAACATAAATGTCCTTAATTTTATTTATTTTTAAATGTTTTTATTGATTTGAGAGAGAGGAAGGGAGAAGGATCGAGAGAGAAACATCAACGAGAGTGCAACATCAATTGGCTGTCTCGTGCATGCCCCCCACTGAGGATCAAGCCCGCAGCCGGGCATGTGCCCTGACTGAGAATCGAACCAGTGAGCTCCTGTTTCATGGTTCGCTATCAGCCACCAATCCACACTGGCTGGGCTGTCCTTAATTTAAGACAATCCTCTAAAAGGTTGGGAAACGTGCATTAATAGCCAAGTCTCCTTTGCACACACTGACACAAGGAGCTTTTGAAATCCTGTCCTCTGTGAACATGAAGTAGACATGTGGCTACTCATCTTCTAAGGACCCTGAGTTACTCATTGGGACAGGGGAAGCCTCACGGGTTGTGGCCAGAAGGTTTTAGTAGTTACTTGATGTTTAGTTGCTGTGATTATTCTAATTGGTGACTTCTCTTTTATTCAACATTATTCCTTCCTACTCTAAGCAGATTCTCTCAGGAAAGATCTGAGCGGGAACTTCTTTGTCTGAAAATGTCTTCATTTTGCACCTGCTTTTATGTGGTGCCTTTAGCTGGTTGTAGAATTCTTTTTATTTTTTTTTATTTTTTTTAATTTTATTGATTTTTATACAGAGAGGAAGGGAGAGAGATAGAGAGTTAGAAACATCGATGAGAGAGTCATCGATCAGCTGCCTCTTGCACACCCCCTACCGGGGATATGCCCGCAACCAAGGTACATGCCCTTGACCGGAATCGAACCCGGGACCCTTCAGTCCCCAAGCCTACGCTCTATCCATTGAGCCAAACTGGTCCTGGCTGGTTGTAGAATTCTACTGGACAGTTGTTTTTCTCCGCACTTTGAAGATGCTGATGGTTCTGATGAAAACATAATGCTGCTTCTTCCTTTGTGGGTAACACGTCATTTGTCTGGTTGCCGTGTGTGTGTGTGTGTGTGTGTGTGTGTGTGTGTGATCCTTTCCCAGGGCCAGGCTAATCTTCCTGTGTCATTCCAATGTCAGTATCTGTTGCCAAAGCCAGCACTCGCTTTAAGAGTTTGTCTTGGCATTCTACAGTTTTTCATGGTGGTTTAGATATGAATTTATTTTTCTCTTCCTTGGGATTTAGTGTGCTTTTCCACTAGGAAAATTATTATCTTAATACAATTACTGTGAGTCTCAGCCATTATCTCTGAATTACATCTCTTCCTCGGAATTTGTTTTCATATTATCTTAGGTGACGTATCAGACATTGCTTTCCAATGGCATCTTTTGACCACATTTTTTTCCTTCAGTGGTCTTCTCAAGTGTTTTTTAAAAATATGTCTTCCGTTTTACCACTGTTCTGTGGGTTTTTTTGTTTGTTTTTTAAATTATAAAAGTCCTTATACCTCCAAGCTGTCTTTTTTTCTTGATTCATTGTATCGTGTCCTTTCCCCTGGCTTCTGCTTCCCTTTCTTTAATCTCTTTGCTTATTTTAATAAATAAATAACCTGAATTTATAATTCAGTCATTATGAATTCTGTTTTGTTTATATTTCCACACATGGTCCTGCCATTATTTTGAAGCCAGTCTTGGGCATCATCTGTTGAATCATAAATATTAAAATGCATATCCTTAAAAGGTTCTTTAGTCATTTTCAGCTTATTTCATGTTTTATTACACAGCTTTCATGTTTTAGGTTTTTGGGGACTAGCACCTGTTGGTTTGCTGACCCTCATCTTTTGCTTTTGAATTTGTGTGATGTACATTTGTTACCTGTCATTTAAGCTTCTTACTGGGTGTGAAGAGAAGATGCAGACAAGGGAGGAATAAGCATGTGGTGTTGAGTTTGCATTAGAGATATCACTATGAAGCAATGATTTTTCAAAAAAAACACCCAAAACTTCGCTGAAGGAGTGAACAGAATGGGGAGGCTTTTCGTTAGAATTGTTAGTGTGAGAGTTGACTATTGCATGTTATTGTTTTGATAAAAAGTAAAGCATTTTTAAAAAGTAATTCAGGAAAGTGGCTGTATCGTGTTAAGTCCGCACCCTGTGAGCTGCTGCCCGCACCCCAGCAGGCTGCCATCGTGGCCAAGGTTCGTCAGGCAGGCGACTGCCTTGGGGTGGGCACCGTGCCAAATGCTGAGCAGAATTTCATGAATGAAAACCACTAAAGACACATTTTATCAGGAAGTGGATCTGCTTACCGGTTGCCCTTTGGACTTACACCTTGGAATGACACATTAAAAACTGGAGGAACTGTGGTATTTCACAGAAGAGGAAATTCAGGAACTTGCTCTAGACTAGGGGTGTCGAACTCAATCAGAGAAGGGGCCAAAATCTAAAATCCAGCCTAAATCGCGGGCCGAATGGTTTACTGAACAGTCATAAACTGTCATTGTGATGGAAACGCAGTGGAGTGCAGTGATGACAGCGCGGTGCGGGCCACATTGCAAGGCCTGGCGGGACGGATTTGGCCCTCGGGCCTTGTGTTTGACACGTGGGTTAGAGTGTCGTCCTATGCATAGAGGGGTCAAGGGTTTGATCCCCAGTAGGGGGTGTGCAGGAGGCAGCCGATCAATGATTTTCATCATTGATGTTTCTCTCTCTCACCCTCTCCCCTCCTCTGAAATCAATAAAGAAAAAAATTATTTTATTTTTTTAAGGGAAGCCAGTTTGTGAATGCGCCCACATCTGGTTGAGTGGTTTCAGGAGGGATTGGTGCTAGAATCACATTTCTCACCTCAGACCTCAATCCAGTCAGACTCTTCTCTGCTGTCGCTCCTCCCGTATGTACTCGGGAAGCGCTAGGCAGGAAGGCACGGGTCTTCACGGATCTGGCTCCGCTCCCGAGCCTCCACGGGCTCCTCGTCACTCACTCGCCGAATGGACAGACAGGGGACGGGCAGGCTGCTTCTCCTGTTTGGTGTGATCGTGTGACCAGCTTCACCATGGGAACTGACGGCTTGTGTGAGCCAGTGTTCCCCAGTGGCAGCCGCTGGCCCTGCTCCAGCGCACGCTGTGCCTGGGGGGTTGTGGTCACGTGACCATTGGTGATGGCTGCTGTCACTGTTCTTGGCTGTAACCATAGCCTCTCACGAGTGCCTAACGCTTCATTTCAGGAATTGTTGGATAAGTATTTAATAGCCAACGCAACTAATCCAGAGAGTAAGGTCTTCTACCTGAAGATGAAGGGAGACTACTTCCGGTACCTTGCTGAGGTTGCCAGTGGTGATGATCGGAAACGTAAGTGCATTGGTTTATGGGTAAAGCTAAAATGTAAACTAGGAGGAGGGTAAATGGTATACTGTGGCCTTTTGTAACTTTTAAGAAACATTTTGGAATTTACATAAAAAAGAAAATGTTGCCTTATGTTTTCAAAAATGGATATATAGTCATGAGTTTACATTATGTGCTCTTTTAAAAAATTAAATGCGAGCTTTCTCATTTTAATCTGATGAGATTTTATTGAAAACAGGCTTTATGGCTCTTGCTTGAGGGTTTGCTGTACTGCGTGTTCAGCCCCAGTTCTTTGCATGTGTTTAGAGCGATCTTGTTAGGACCTTCAGTGTCATTACACCGGGAAACTTACCTGGGAGAGATGACACAGAATAATAGTGGCCCAGTGCACGAAATTAAAAGGGAATTAATTAGAGGAAATATTTTAATATTGCTATTTGCCCTTTCTCTATAACATAAGTGTCAGAGATGAAAGAAAGTTATTAAAATATATATGAAACTCTTCCTCCTGTCAGAGTCTGGGTGTGCCAGGGGACCCAGAGTCAAGACCCGGCCAGCCCCACCCCCATCAATACCGCCAGGTGGCGGGCGGGGCCTCACATTGTCTGGCCCGGCACTGCACTGCGGTGGAGGGTGTGCACTGGGGCTCCCCTCAGCCCCGCCAGGCGGGGAGTGCGGCCTGAGGTCCCCTGTCCCGACTCAGCGGCCACGCAGCCTCAGGTCCCTGCTAATTGCTCATTAAGGCTCATTACAGGAATTCGGCCTCCATGTGGGTGCAGCCATATTGTTATGGCGTGGCAGTTGATTTGCATATCCCCTCTTTATTATATAAATAGAAGCAGGCTGTGCCTTTCTGTTTGACACGTTAGCCACTACCTACTTTGAAGGGTAACATCATCTATAACTGCATATAACCAGGTTTCTGAGGAGAGGTAAAGTGAGTGCTAGTGCCATTACAAAACTTATCAGAAAAACAGATATGGGAAAAGAATAACCCAATTGCCTAGCTTGATTGTTTAAAAAAATCAAAGTAAATTTATTAGCAGTGAACTCCGTCTCCTGAAGTATTGGTAGCTGAGTATAAAACAGATCCTTTTAAATTTTGTGTGTGTTTTTGCTACGAATTTTATTACAGATAAACAGAGAAATTAGTTAACTCTGTTGTAACAAAATTTGTGTACTAAACTTACTGTGTTGTTGATGTATCATTTCTGTTGCCATAAAAATAACAAAACTGAACATGACAGAGCTGAACACTCAAGCATGAGCACGTTGGCCCCAGCATGAATCTGATCTCTCTTTCTGGCTTACTGGCATTTTCTAATCCCATGCATATCGATAAATACATTCTAGCGTTTGTAGACGGTCTGTGTTACAGCCTAGGAGCCGAGATGCTTTGCTCTTTGTAGTGCTTCCTTGAGTGCCAGACACCGGAGCTCCTTGGCACGTTGTGCTAACCCAGTGTGTTTAGATCAGTAAATGCCCGCTTCAGAGGAAGGGAAATGTATGCGTTTCAGGCTGCAAGGGGATCATTTCTTTGGGTCCCTATTTCCAAGGCAACATTTTTTTTCCAGAAAGGTAGCATTTTTATTAGGCCAGTAACCAACTCTGGTCAGAGCAGCCTTGGTTGTTACGTGTTGACACTTTTATATTGCTTTTCACATAATACATCTTAATTGCAAGGATCAGTATTTTTTTTTTTAAATATATTTTTATTGCTTTTGTACAGAGAGGAAGGGAGAGAGATAGAGAGTTAGAAACATCTATGATGAGAGAGAGTCATCGATCAGCTGCCACTTGCACACCCCCTACTGGGGATATGCCCGCAACCAAGGTACATGCCCTTGACCGGAATCGAACCCGGGACCCTTCAGTCCCCAAGCCGACGCTCTATCCATTGAGCCAAACCGGTTTCGGCAAGGATCAGTATTATTTCTCCAAATAAGTCACAAAAACAGAGATTTTGGTGGTGCTGATGTTGTAAAGTGTTTTCACTATTTTGAGAAGGGATATTATAGCCAATTTCATCCTCCACCCCCAGCTTTATTAAGATATTATTGGCATGTAACAAATGATTTTTAATTGCTGTGTTAGCCCCAGTGATGTAAAAATCTGATATACTATATTACTTTTTGTTTGTTTGTTTGTTTGTTTTGTTAAGCTGATAAGCCAACAACATTATAAACTGGTTCTGAGTGCTCAGTACAAGGCAATGTTTTGCTTTGCTGTGGTTTTATTTATTTATTTTATTATTATTTTTTTAAATATATTTTATTGATTTTTTACAGAGAGGAAGGGAGAGAGATAGAGAGCTAGAAACATCAACCAGCTGCCTCCTGCACACCCCCCACCGGGGATGTGTCCGCAACCAATGTACATGCCCTTGACTGGAATCAAACCCGGGACCTTTCAGTCCGCAGACTGACGTTCTACCGCTGAGCCAAACCGGTTTTGGCTGCTTTGCTGTGGTTTTAAAGGAAGGCTACAGAGAACAGTCTGGTTCTCCCGGGAGCTGGTAGCATAATGAAAGGTGTTAACATGCTGGGGACTGGGGGGTATTTTCGGTGTCCTGCTTTTTTATTTCATTCTTTTGCCTTCACAGAAACGATAGACAATTCCCAAGGGGCTTACCAAGAGGCTTTCGACATCAGCAAGAAGGAGATGCAGCCCACACACCCCATCCGCCTGGGGCTGGCTCTCAACTTCTCCGTGTTTTACTATGAGATCCTCAACAACCCCGAGCTCGCCTGCACGCTGGCCAAGACGGTGAGATGCGTGTCCAGACCCGCCTCTCCAGCCAAGGCGATTGGAGACGACAAGCACTTACTTTGCAGGCGTTTTATTTACTTGGCTATCCAGGGATGGTTTCTACTCTTCATTGGCTCTCTCCTCCTTTTTCTTACCATCACGACCGCCTACCACCACCCCTCTCAATATCTTGCTCTCTCCCAAACTGGCCAAAGAGCAGAATGATCAGAGGAGGAGGAAGAAGTGGAGGGCAAAGCCGCCAGGGTGGCTGCTAGCATAGCTGCATTCCTCAGAGGGTTCGAAAGGGAGAAAGGATGCCGGAGAGGCTCTGCAAACACAGTCTAGTTCTTATTGGTAAGAAGTCTGCTGGGCACGGCCACTGTGCTGTGTCCTGTGAGAGCACCAGGGCGTGCTGTGCCCCGGCGGGCAGCTGGCTGGGCTGGAGCTTACCGGCACACCAGGAAGGCTTCAGGCTCATTCCCGGTCAGGGCGCATAGCTAGGTTTTGGATTCTGTCTCCTTTTGGGGCACGTGGGGGAGGAGGCAACAGTTGATGTTTCTCACAGCGATGTTTCTCTTCCCCTCTCTCTAAAATCAATAAGTATATCCTCAGGGGAAGGGGTGAAAAAGAAGTTCCTGTTTACTGATAAGTACACATAGCTTTTAAGTTTAGAGTCATACTCATAAGTTCTTACACTGAGAATCTGATTCCATCGTTTTATTTTTCATTAGAGCAGAGCATAAAGTCAAAGTTCACCTATTTTTTAAAAATGGTTTGTAATGTGGACTAGCCAGGTTGCGTCGATAGGAATATGACTTACCATGGATGTTAATATCTTACAGGCTTTTGACGAGGCCATTGCAGAACTCGATACACTGAATGAAGACTCGTACAAAGACAGCACCCTCATCATGCAGTTGCTTAGGGACAACCTCACAGTGAGTTGTTCATATTTCTGTTTCCTTTTCAGGACCCAAAGTGCTGTTTCACTAGAGGCCTGGTGCACCAAACTCGTGCACTAGAGGCCTGGTGCACCAAACTCGTGCACTAGAGGCCTGGCGCACCAAACTCGTGCACTAGAGGCCTGGTGCACCAAACTCGTGCACTAGAGGCCTGGTGCACCAAACTCGTGCACTAGAGGCCTGGTGCACCAAACTCGTGCATGGGCAGGGTCCCTAGACCTGCCGGTGATCCCGTTTCCCACTTCCTCCTCCCTCACTCCCTCGGTGCCCTGCAGCTGCAGCTGGCCGCCCACCATGTTCCATGCCATCTCCTGGTGGTCAGCACATGTCATGGGAAGCAATTGAACTCCCAGTCGAACTCCCTAGGGGACACTGCATATTAGCCTTTTCTATGTATAGATTTTGGACTCCCTATCTCTTGGGGGTAGTTTCTAATAGCTATCCTTTCTCTTAGAAAATAAATTTATGGGTACATAAATAAAAGTATTACATGCTTGTCTGGGTTTTATGTCAAATGGTCATTTTATCAGATCCTCCTGAGAAGGGACTGAAGTTGCAGGGACTCATAATCAGTTCACATCACTGACTGTTTCATGGGGTGGAGATGTTCAAGTCACTCTGGAGCATTTGGTGGTTTCAGAGTTTTCTTCCTTTGGGCACAGTAGCCATGGCCAGGAAGGCACTATGGTAGGCATCCAAGCGTCTCCAGAATCGCAGGAAGTGCCTTGTTCGAATCACCTGTTCCTTTTCGAGCTGAACGTGATGTTCTTAACTTGTTTTCTCTTTATTTCTTTACCTACTACTTGGACAGGCAGATGATTATAGAAAAAATAATGAAGAAAAAATACAGGTTGAGCTTTACGTAGCTCCTTTTTATAGGTTCAAATAAATGTGATATGTCAGAACCTTGGACCGACTATGGAAGAAGGAACCCACCCCCCTGTCATAAAAATGGAGTTCGCTTTTGCTAGATAGGATTCTCCTCATCGCAGCACCATAGCCGTTCAGCTTTGATTAACAGGGAACTTGTGAGCACACTGTCTTGCCAGCCGTCAGACACGCTGTAGTTGTGGGTACAGAACCGTCAGCATAGACCGCTTCTGAGGAAGAAAGGCACGCGAGTGATGGCCCTCTTCCTGACACATCGTCGTGCCGGCGGGTCTTCACTGGTTTTGTTTTCTCTATGGAGACAGTTCTCCGGGGATATTTGTTTTATTTATGTTAGTATCTTAACAATAGCTTAGAGACTATATAAGATTCCAGCTTTTCTGAAATTCAAGCACTGTCTTCATATTGGTCTAATAGAAATCCATTTTGTGAGCTATTGATTATAGTTGAGTAATATTGACTGTCCCATTTTCATTCCGTCAATCCATCCTAAAATTAGATCCTTCAGATTAGTTGGGTTTGTTTTGATGTCCTGCCTAGTTCATGAATCCTTGTGTCTTCATGCACACCTCTGCAGCGACTCTAAGTGAGTTAGCATTTTGCACTATATGATAGCTCTGCAGATACTTGGAATAGTTATTATGATCACAGTCCTCCCCCTTAAGATGTTTTTGCCTTATTAATCTCAAATTATATTTCAGTAGTGCTTTCATGAAGACCTTTGGGCTGCTGGGAATGAGAGAACAATAAATTCTAAGGCTGTTCCCTTGCTTTTTTCTGAATTTGTAGTACTTATAAAGAGGAAACTGTCAAAGCTGCTCAGGTAGTGTGTGTGTGTGTGTGTGTGTGTGTGTGTGTGACTTTGTGACTGCATTGTGAACAATCTGCAGGGATCCCTTTGGGGAGGAGCTGGTGGCATTTGGGTTTTGAGAACTAGCTTTCAGTCTTAGTCATCATCTCTGTTCAAATACTTGAGTGCTTTCGGAATTACATTCCGATGTCAGGGTAGGACTTGATGTAGCTGTCTGCTCCGGAAGTAGTAACCTAGTCCGCTCTCTTTCCTAGTTATGGACGTCGGACAGCGCAGGAGAAGAATGTGACGCGGCCGAAGGCGCCGAAAACTGACTGCCGACAGGGTGATGTCCTCCTTCCCTCCAGAAACCTCTGTGCACATCTCCATTCCTTCCTCCATGTGGATTTCCCGGAGCAAAGAAACCACCATGTGTATGGAATCAACGTTCCTAGTCTTTCACACGCAGCTGTGGGAAACTCCACTCCCTGATTTGTTTGTCTTGGCCTTCCTGGTGTGCAGTTACTGCTGTAGAAAAGTATTAATAGCTCCATTTCACATAAACAAGTACTCCCAAACGCGTATGTAGAGGACTAAAAATGTATTCGGTATTTAAGTAATCTGAACCAGTTCTGCAAGTGACTGTGTTTTGTATTACTGTGAGGATATGAAAATGTAGTTAATTACATTTAAAGAGTGTTTTACATAACTTCTTAATTCCTACATTCCCTCCCTTACTCTTCGGGGGTTTCCTATCCGTGAGCAAGTTTCCATGTTCTTAATGTATTCCTTAGGGCGGGAATCCGGAAGCATCAGATTGAATGGGAAAGCGTTTGGTAATTCTGGGCTGCGGGTCACAAACAGAAATGCCTCCTGTGTCACAGGGTGGAGGTCTCGGTAGCTGTGACACCGGGAGTTTCCTTATCCACTCATTTGCTGCTGTTTCAGTTGACAACTTCCCTTCCTAATAAAAACTCACTCACACCTTCTGCCTTTGTAGTTCTGGTGTTCACTTTACTAGGTAATAAAGTAGCATGATGCTGCCAGAATACAAGCGTTGCTTTTGGCAAATTAAAGTGCATGTCATTTCTTAATACCGTAGAATGGGGAAATAAAGTACACAAGTCCAAGTTTAAAATTTTAGTACTTTTCCATGCAAATTTGTACACATGTGAGAGGGTGTCCAGTGTGTCTAGCGATTGTTATTTAGAGAGTTGGACCACTATTGTGTGTGGCTGATCATTGTAGTCCCAAATAAGCCTTGTGAAAATGTCATGCCCTATGTAACAGCAGAGAACCGTAAAATAAAATTGCATTTTATAAACCATTTCCTATGGCTTTGCAACATTGGCATACTCCGATTTTAAAGGACTACTATCTGAAGTTTATTGATACCTCCCTTTATCTTCTGTAAAATGTAGTGGATCCCCATACCTTTGCATTGTGATACGCCGTCCAGGGCCGTGAAATTGGCTAACTTCTCAGAGGGGGTGTTTTAGGCATAGGCAGTGCGTGGACCATCTCTTCCTCATGTAAATGGTCTCCAGCTAATGCTCCATGGAGTAAAGTGGACATTTTCAAACTAGCGAAGCTAACTGTGGTTCTGAATGCTTTGGCTGGTGTGGATTGTGCTTCAGTGGATGGCCGGCAGAATGGCAGAGGACAACATACCTTGTTTAGTTGTACCATTGGTGAGTCCACGTAATTTTGTTTTTATAGCATCAAAGTCAAAAGATAATCTGAAAAACCAGCAGTGTAAGATTAATTCTTTATCTCCAAAATGGGACTGCAAAAAGGTTTCATTTGCACTGGATCTGTTTCCTGAGGGGAAATGAAAAGATGGGATTGAATGGGACATGGGGAACTACTCATTTAAATAAGATTATTAGGGCTTTGGTCCACAAAAACCTACATCAGTAAGACCCTTTTACTTTATGAAGTACGAAACATTTTTTGTTAATGAGGGAGAAGTATATCTAAAATTAGAACTTGACACAGGCATCTGAATCCATTGTTCCCTAACAGCTTGCAAACAGAATACTTCAAATTCCACACAAGATGCTGCAAGCCTGAGTGCACGCTGCGGTCTGGACACCGAGTTTGGATCCTTTCCGTCAGAGAGGAAGTCCGTGAATTTCTCTTCCAGGTATATGTTTTATGTTTGAGAGCAAAGAAAACATTGCCGTACTGCCTTTTTCTGAGGCCACTTTAAGAATCACTAAGATGACAGAAAAAGGGAAAAACTCACAAAGATGAAAACAGCAAAAGGAAAATCTAATGAGTCTTCCATTATAAAGCAGTCACTTATTGAATTGTTACTAAATTAACCAAACTACATATTCAGTGGAACATTTATAATCAAGTTTTCTCAGTGTTCTTGTTTTTCATTGTATGGAAATTAAAGAGAAAAACATAATTTAAAATATATGAGGTAAATTTCTACACAAATAGCAGAATTTAATAAAATTAGTAGCACCTGAACCTAATTGTCTGGTTCCAACATTTGAAATCGTTTTGTAATACCAATGACACAAGCTCATTATCATAAAAAAACAACATATTAATACCTCAACTAAACAGGATGGGTCCTCTGTAACATACATGCAAAGACTATAAAGAAAAATTTCAGCCGAAACTGGTTTGGCTCAATGGATAGAGCGTCGGCTTGGGGACTGAAAGGTCCCGGGTTCGATTCCGGTCAAGGGCATGTACCTTGGTTGCGGGCATATCCCCAGTAGGGGGTGTGCAAGAGGCAGCTGATCGATGACTCTCTCTCATCTATGTTTCTAACTCTATCTCCCTTCCTCTCTGTACAAAATTAATAAAATATATTAAAAAGAAAAAAAAAATTTCAGCCCTAACTGGTGTGGCTCAGTGGATAGAGCATGGGCCTGCAGACTCAAGGGTTCCAGGTTCGGTTCCCGTCAAGGGCATGTACCTTGGCTTCGGCCACACCTCCAGTGGGGAATGTGCAGGAGGTGGCTGATTGATGCTTCTAACTCTCTCCCTTTCTCTCTAAAAAATAAATAAAAAATATTTTTTAAAATTTCAGTAGGCATGGGAGCACCATCGTGGGATATTAAAAAGTTACCGCTTGCCCAGCAGGTGTATAGCTCAGCGCTGAGTATCCGATTCCCAGTCAGGACACGTGCTCAGGTTGCAAGCTCGATCCCCAGTAGGGGGCGTGCGGGAGGCAGTGGTTAATTGTGAATTGCCCAGGTATCTGCCTGAAGAGCAGGCTATTTTGGCTCCCTGCTTTAAGAGTTGGCAACTTTTTTGGCAACTTTATAAAGGGCCCAGCCCCTGTGTCTCCGCGAATCCCCCCAGCTCGGCCTCCTCACACAGACGGGGGGTTTGTGGGACTCTGCTGAGAACTCAGAGGGGGAGGGGACACCCTCCCAGGTGGGGGGCGGGGTGGTCTACATTTGGGGATGGAGGGAAGGTTTAAAGCCTTTTGGAGATAGAGTGTTTACAGAAACTTTACATCTGTCTTGTATTGTAGTTAGAACATTTGACCGTTTTTTTGTTGTTTGTTTTTTACCGTTTTTTCTTTAAAATATCACGTAGGAATTACGTATTCACAAAGCTCTCTGCACCCCTATGTTCATTCCAGCATCATTCTCGGCGGCCTGCGGTGGAGACGGGATAAAGATGTGGTCCGTGTCCACACGGAACACCATCCGCCGTAAGAAGGGATGGAATCACCGTCTACAACAACACGAGTAACCTTGAGGGTGTTACACGCAGTGAAATAAGTCAGAAAAAGCGAAGGGCCACCTGTGGGATCTAAAACAAGCTCGTGAGCAGAGCGGCGGTGGTCGCCGGAGCGGGTAGGAGGAGAAGGGGGCCCTAAGGTGAGGCACAGCAGATCTGACGACGTGAGCACACAGGCCGCATACAGGTCTAGCTGTTCATGTTGGCCAATGTCACCCCAATAATTTTAATTAAAATAATTAGTTTTTAGTAAAATGTTTGGTGGGGACTTTAAAGATTTATAAAATTGATTTTGAGAGAGAGAAACATCGATTGATGGCCTCCTGCATGTGCCCGGACCAGGGATTGAACCTGTAATTCAGGTATGTGCCAGGATTGGGAATTAAACTGTCCTGGTTCATAGGATGATGCTCAGCTGAGCCACACCGGCCCGGCCAGATCAGTGCTTTTATAAACTTATCCACAGTTAGTGGATAGTGAGTCAAAGCCTTTTTTTTTTTTTTTAAGTGAAATAGAGTGGGAAATACATGCGTGTCAATAGGATGACTTCTGAGAAATCAGGTTTTCTATATGTGAGGAGCAGATTGTGAGGTGGAATAGGTTTCAGGTGAGTGAAAGCCATTTCCTCCCAGTCTGTCCCGAGCTTGCCTGTTTGACGCGAGGGAGGGATGTCAGTTTCTAACGGGGCACGAGGGTCCCCCACTGCGGGGAGCTGGGCCCTGGGACACGCAATGCGCTGTCGGAAAAAGAGGGAGTGTCTTCAGAGCGATCCTCATCCTACATCCCTCCCTCCCTCCCTCCCCTTGTTAAGTAGATTGAGAGCCTCTTAGGAGCCATGGATGGTGCCGGGTACTAGCACTTGTAACTACAGCGCCTAGTGTCTCAGCTTCAGTTTTCTTAAAAGATGAGCACCTCTCCTGCCCGGGAGCCCCAGTGCAGGGCTGTCCTGCGTGTGTGTGGGGAGCTGGGGGGGATCCGGGGTGGGAAAGAAGTGAGGAGCGAGTCGGCCTCATTTCAGGATCGGAAAGTTCAGGTGAAGTGAAGCCAGCGCTGTGGATAAGAGAGCCAGCCACACTTCCAGCAGACCTATTGCCCTAGATTTTCAAGGACAAACACAAAAGGAAAGTGACAGTGTAACTTGGGAACGCAGAGTTAAAAGGGACGAAACTATTAGGCAGCGGTCTCGCTCCTAATTAGCCTTCTCTGGTGGAACAGACCGGAGGCGGCGGAGAGACATGCAGAGCCTGTTTCTCAAGAGCCACCTGGTCATCGCTCCAGCAGCCTCCGAGGCCCTGCGGGCTCGCTCAAAGGTGCTAGGGTGCTGTGTGACAAGTGCCCGTGGCTGTGGCCGCTGGCTAGGACCTGGGACTTGGAAGAGTAAGGGCTGAAGTGCAGATTGGTCAGGCGAGAGAAAACATTCTCCTGCTGCCCGCGAAGGTGGAAAGCGGAGTGGGGAGACGTGGGGAGTGAGTGAGGTTTCCTCTCTGGGGGGTCCAAACCCGCCATTGGTTCCTTTCGCCGCTGACTAGAGATATACAGGATGTCCCCCCAAATGTATACACACTTGGAATACCTACTAATTCCAATGGAGTTAAGCATGAAAAGAAAGGAAAAACCATGGAGCTGTCATCTGTTAAAAGTGCGGGCACAAAGCCGGTAGTCAGACATTCCCCAAGGGGTACCGGATTAGAGAGGGCGCAGGCCGGACTGAGGGCCCTGTGCATGAATTTCATGCACCGGGCCTCTAGACTTATTTTACTTAGCATCATGTCCTCCAGGCTCATCCAGGATGTTGCAAATGGCAGGACTTCCTCTCTCTTAGGGCCAAAAAATACCCCACTGCAGGTAGATACCACCACTTTCCCACCGACCTGTTCACCACCAACCCTTGGCTTGTTTCTGTATCTTAGCTGGTATGAATGTTATGTCATGAGCTCAGGAGGGCAGACACTCCCCGTTTTCTTCCATTCCCCTGGAGGCGCCATTCTTTCAACGCTGGCATAATTGTCAGATTTAAGCATCCAACAACTGAGTGCGGGTTCTCTGAAGAGACTAAGTATTAATAGGACAGGCCTTCAATTAAGGCCTTGGCCGCTGCAGAGCTGGAGGGTAATTGGTGCCAGGCTCCCTGTGGGACCTGCCAGCCCAGGAGGAGGGACTGTTGGCCACTTTGGACCTGAGGTAATTTCAAACGGGCACACGTTTCCATTTTCCTCTTCGTCCCATCTGCTCTCTGTGATCAGTTTTTCATGTGGTTCAATTACTCAGATCTCAGGGGATGGGGAAGGGTTCATAAGGAAAGAACCAACACATCCACATATTTTGTATGGCATACGATATCTAGGAGATATGACACCCTGTTTACTAGTACAGGTCCGGGTTAGCCATTGAAATAATTCTGTGATGAAGGCATGGATGCCTGGTAAGAAGAGTGATGAAAAATGGAGAAATGGTTACTAAAATTTTAGCAGTGAACCTTCTTGAAATACCACCTTCAAGGAAATGGCTGGTTTCCTTTTCTTGTTGAACCTGGGGAAACATTCCAGCTTCAAGGAGGCCTGGTTATTTATTTTCTTGTTCATCATAACAATTCCCTTTATCAGCGAGAATCCTCAAGTATTCTGCTTTGCATAATATACTCTAGGCATAATATACTTTTCCATTTTCTTTCTAAAAACATCTGAAATAGATGACAATTTCTGGACTAAAATCTTGAGTTCTTGGGATGTGACTTTGTATATCGGTTTATTCCAGCAAGTGGGTCTGTTGTCTGATAGAGATTTGTGGATTGACCCTACATCTTGCAGTGTTAGTTTCACAGGTTTATCAACTGGAAAAAAAGCATATGGATCTAGAAATAACTAGCATTTTAGAAAGAGTAACAAATGCTCTATCCTATATAATAAAAGCCTAATATGCTAAGTGTTTGGTCGTCAGGTTGGCTATTCAACCAATCAAAGCTTAATATGCTAATGATATGCTAAGGCCACTCAATGGCTTGCTATGAAGTACACTGACTATAAGGGGGCAGATGGTCAATGCAGGAGCTGCCCCCTGGTGGTCAGTGCGCTCCCACAGGGAGCCAGGCTCAGTGGCAGTACTTGGGAACTAGTTTTGAGACTTGACCAGGCGGGACTGATACTTTATTCCTAACAACCGCTGTCTCTGCAGTGGGAAATGTGCTGTGTCCTACTTGCACCAGCTCTGGTTGAACCAAAATAGCACTACACACCCATTATTAGCAGGCTTTACTCAGCACCATCCACACCCGGCTCCGGAGCTAAGATGCACAGGACTGCAATGCGAAGCAGCACACACTGCCTTGGGAAGTGCAGTCCCAGCTGAAGCGGCCATCGGACTGCATTTTAGTAAGAGCTGATGGAGTCTAGCTTGTGTTCACACCCGGGGCGAGGAGGCCGAAGGTCCTAGTTTCTTGGAAAGCTTGCCGAGCCGCGAGCTCAGCGGGGCCACAGGGAGGAGGGCAGCTCCCGCTGATTTCCCTGCACAAGGCCTCCCGTTCCCGGGATGGAGGCCGAAGGCTCCGCGGGCCTGGCACAGGGAGGGGAGCCCCATCGGCCTGGACGCACGCTCCCCAGGGGTGGGCGCCGCCTCCTCCGGGGAGCCGGGTCCTCGCCCTTCGATTTGGTTTTTGGGTCATTCCCTGGAGCACCCAGGGCCAGGCGCCCTCCCGTGCAGGGCGGGGTCCGGGCGGTCCCCGCAGCTCCTTTAGGGAAACGGATCCCAACCTGCGCGGGGCCTCAGCGAGGGAGGAGGCCGGACGTGCCTTCGCGGGCTGCTCCCAGGCGGCCGCCTCCCTCGCGGCGGTCACCCGGGGACAGCGGTCACCCGGGGACAGAGGCGAGGGCCGGCCGGGTCAAGCAGGGACGTCGCGGGCCCCGTCCGGACAGGCGCCGGCGGGCCGGAAGGGGCGGGCGGAGGGACGGCCAGGGGGCGGGGCACTGGCGCGGGGCGGGGCGAGCCGGGTCCTCCCGGCATGCCGCGCGGCACGCGGCTTCCGCTAGTGGGCGGTGCGGGCGGCGGCGGCGGCCGGAAGTGGGCTCGGCCGGCCTCTGGGAGCGCCGCCTGCACTTCCGGGCCTGGAGTCCGGCTCCAGAGTTCCTGTAGGCGGCGCGGGAGGAACAATCGGTGTGAGGGGCCGGGCCGGGCGGATCCCTCCGGCCCGATGTGAGCGGCTGGCGCCCCGAACCCCCGTCCGGCGAGGCTGCCCGCGGCGGGCCGGTGCCCGGGACCATGAGGCAGTGGCTGCTCCTCCTGACCAGCGTGGTGCCGCTGGCGCTGGCGCCGCCACCTCCGGGCCCGCCGGGCCCGGGCTCCCCGCCGCGGCTCGGTAAGAGCGGAGTCGGCCGGGCCGGGCCGGGGGCTGCTCCGGGGAAGCGCCGGCGCCGGGGCAGGCGGAGGGCGGTGCGGGCGGCTCGGCGCTCGGGGCCCGCGAGGCGGCTGGTCCGTGGGCGGGAAGGGGGCCGCAGGCGGCTCGGGGGACCGCGGCCGGGGGATAGCTCGGGGGAGGGGCCGGCCGGGGGCCGGCTGGCGTCTGGAGGGGTTCCGTTAGCGCTGCTCCCGCGGAAGCCTGGCGGGAAGCCGGGGCGGACACTCACGTTGGCTTCACTTTGGGACCCGCGGGAGCGTGTACTTGGTTCAAATGGAACCTCCCGGAGGTGCGGGGCTGGGGACCCACCTGCCGAGTCCTCTCTGCCGCCGCCGCTGCCGCGGAGGCCTCCCGGCCGGTCAGGGAGCGGGCAGGCGGCCCACGCGCTCAGTTTGAGCCCAGAAAGCAGGGGGTCCTTGTTCAGATGGCCTACGACAGTGGTCGGCAGACTGCGGCTCTTTGGCCCCTTGAGTGTACCTCGATCAGATTGAGGATGTTGTTAGCAGAGGCCAGCTTAGGAGGACCCTCCTTAAGTTGATAACAATGGACCCACCTATGTAGTTTACGTTTAAAAAGTCTGGCTCTCCAAAGAAATGTCAGTCGTTGTCCTGCTGATGTTTGGCTCTGTGGACTAATGAGTTGCCGACCGCTGCCCTACAAGATTGGGTTTTAAGGATGGTGGCCATCACAGGCGGGCAGTGGATAGCAGGCTCCTAGGCTGCCCCCAGCAGAGGAAAGCCGTGTGTTTTTGTGTGCAAAGGGCAGAACCCTGGGGCCAGGAAAAGGCATGTGTGTGTGTGTCTCCCCCCCTTCCCCCTTTTACTCAACGGGCATTTGAGGAGCACCTCCTGGATGTTGGCTTATGTGTGGCTTCGGAACCCCAAGGTCGGACAACATCCGTCTCCGCACACTAGGTTGTAAGCAGACATTCTGGAACGGCCTGGAAGACAGCAGAGGACACACCTGACAGACGGTGTACCTCGGGGGGAACGGAAGCCAGCCTGGGAGGGCGAGGCGGGCTCCTTGGAGGGTTAGTGGGTCCGGAGGGAAAGTCAGGACGCTCCTGTGGGGCACTGCGGTGGTTGGCATTAACCTGAGGGCCCTGCCTCGCGTTTTACAAGCAGCAGCAGGAGAAATGAGCCCGGTGTAGTGAGCGGTCAGGGTCCCACGGTGATAAATATGTCTTGTGGGTATTTTTTCTTTTGAAGAGCATTGATTTCTGTGTGCTTTTAATGGCTCAGGATATAATTTGGTGCTTACTTTAACCCCACCATTATTTAGGTTGAATTGGTCAAGACCAATAAATAGTTTCATAATTAAAGAGCGTGGTTTATTGTTTATTGGCTGACTTGCCCTTTACCTGTTACCGCAGCTGCCGCTCTGAAGCTGGGGTTTGAATCCCGGCTCTGGAGGACTCAGTCCCCCGGAATGATTTCGGTGGAACTGTTAGGAATTGCGTAACTTCGGGAAGTTCTGAGTCATGCGAGCCTAGTCATGAGCGTATCTGGGAGAAGTTGCAGCTGGGTGTATAAGTCTCACTTTGATTTCAAAAGTGGTTTCTCTTTGTGTTACTTTTAATAAAAAGAGGATGTCGTGGGCGGAAAGAAAAAAATGTAGGTCACGGGTGAGAGGTGGAAGCTGTGCCTGCAGCGTGATTTAGAGATTTAGAAACGTCCTGAAGTTTCTGTGCGGGACCCTCCGCCTCGCGCTGCCTGTCTCCTGACTGTCAGCACCATTTCGCTCAGTGCTTGGGCACCTGGCGCTCTCTCGATGTTAATTCTGCTTTCAGCCTGCATTCTTTCAACCCAAACACATAAGCACCCTCACTGTTCCAGGGGAGACTTAAAGCAGCCCTGCTGTGTAGCCGTCAGAGAAGAGCTGTGTTCCTAGAACAGAAGGAGGAGGCGAGTGTACAGAGCCATGGTGGGGAAGGAGAGTCCTGCCCCCCCAGGGTTTTCCAGAACCCTGAGTGGAGGTGTCCTTGCAGGCAGGTGTGGTGGATTCGGGTTCTTCACCATTTCCTGCTTATAGAGATGGTGAGTGTTGTAGTGGGAAGTATAACTTGGGGAAAGTATGAGGAAGGGGCCGGCAGGCTTCAGGGAGGTAGGGGATAGGGGAGTGAAAGGAAGTGCTTCTTCCTGTATCCCCTTAGTTCTTGGCCTAAAACCAAGCAAGGCCATGGCTGTCTTCCTCCCAACACCTCCCTCTCTCTCTCTCTCTCTCTCTCTCTCTTTCTCTCTCCCCCCCCCCCCTTTAACTTGTGTAAGTTCTGACAGATCTCTTCTGCTGCTTTGGTTTTGCTTACTATTTGGCTATAATGCTATTTCCAACGTAGACTTGTTCTCTGAGGTTTCGCTCATGTATCCGTCTGTCACGTGATGCTCCTCCTCCGTATTCACAGGCGCTTCGCTTATAACAGCCCAGAATTACTTTGGTAAACTTGGACTCACCCACTCGTCCTGCGGGCACGGGTGCTGAGAGCAGCAGGTTCGCGTGTCTTCTGCACAAGCAGAACCAGCGCTGGCAGCAGCCCTGGCGTTCTCTTGTCTTTTCCACCAGGACCCTCAGCTGGCGGCATCGCAGTGTCATTGGGGGACACATTGCAGAGCAGCGGGGACCAGCAGGTGCCGCAGGGTCTGTGCTTGCAAGTTGTATTCCCTTCCAGGAGATGCAGTTTATTGCAAAAAGAAAAGAGGAATGAAGTAAAAAGTTTACAAGTGTTCCCTGACTCTTCTCATTCAACATTAGTCAGTTTGGTCTTTAAAGTGTTGACTGTGGACAGGATGAAAGGAAGATGGGTATCTATGTCATTGTACCAGAGTAAATGGCCATAAAAGCTTGTCCCAGAAGTGAACAGCTCAAGCATCTGAGATGGTGGAGTGGAAGGCTTATTTATCAAGGCTTCTGAAGCCACTTCACATGCACACCCAGAAAGCCCGTGCTCAGGCTGAGGCCCCGCGTCCTCCTCACTCGGGGCAGATGGCGGAGAAACAGTATCTGCTGCTTCTCACCACGGATGTCGTGTGGAAAGTCTTACAGAGCAGCTGTGCTCGCCCCCCACCTAAAATCACTATGACTTATCAGCGACACAATTGCAAACATATGATGATCTGTCGATGCAAAAAAGTCCTGTGTAAAGCAGTGTAATTGCAAACTACATATAAGGTATGAGGTACAATATGGAACTAAGAATCTTTCAGCATCCAGCTGGCCTCTCATGTGCCTGGTGGGGAGTTGAGGGGAGGGTTCACGCTCTGCACCTGGGTTGCTCAGCAGTTTATAGCCGATTTCCCGACCTCAGCCTGTTCCCCTCTAGCCACTCCACACTGCCGTTACAGTGAACGTTCTGACGCACAGCTGCTGCCCTGTCCAAAGACCAAATCCCTCATTTAGCTCCGTGGCCGGTCATGGCCAGTACCTGCTGCCCCTGCAGCCTCGCCTCCTCACGCCCCGTGTGGTCAGCATGCAGCCCAAGCTCTTTCATTGCTGAGTGTCCGTCTGTGTTTCCCGTAGACCTCGGCAGGCGTTATGCCTCTGCTAGAACCTTCTCCTTCCTGCTCCTCGCGGCTTCCTCCTCATCCCGTGTTCTCAGCTTCCATGTTCCCCGGGAGAGGGCCCTGGGCCCCCAGGAGGGCTCCTGCTCCTGCTGGGTCCTCCCCTGACTTCCTGTCACTTCTCCTTGGCGCTTGACACACTTAAACCAGTTTTTGTGTCGTGGTCTTTCCGCCAGTGTCGAAATATTGGAAACGGATTTTCTTTCTCCGTTACAGCCCTAGTTCCGGAAGGCGGCGGCTCTCCACACGGAGCGAAGGAGTGACCAGGTGGAGTCTGGTGGGATGGGAGGAAGTGAATGCGGAAAGTGCATGGAGAAAGGAGGGTTGGGGCGGAAAAGACAGAAACAGTGAGGAAGGGGAGGGGCTCTGCGAGCAGGGAGAGGATGGCCGTCACGGGGCTCAGAGTGCTGAGTGGCCACAGTGAGTGCACTGGGAGATTTGGCTTGTCAGGTGGGGAATATAACAGCTGAGGAGCTGCAGGAGGCCGAGGCGCCCCTGGAGGAGCGGGGGGAGGGAAGCGCAGTGAAACGCGGGTCTGGGAGGTCGCTGCTGCGCGGGGCCAGGCGCTGGGGCAGTTGGTGGGACGAGGCGGTGCCTTTGCCATGCTGTTGGAGTGGCTCCGGGCTTCCGGTTGGAGCAGCTAGTTATTGTAAGAGGAGGAATTACAATGGAAACATAGTAACGTTTTTACATGCTTTAGCAAGCTACATTTAAAAGTGCTTTTTATAGAGAAAATACCAAAGATAACCAGTGATGATACCATGTTGCTATTTTTTTGTAGGCCTGTTTTTATACATAGTTAAGGTCATGCAGTATGAAGAGGACTTTTTAAAATGCATCTTTAATATTATAGCATAAACATTTCTCCATGTTCCAAAAACCTGTTTTTAAGAGTATTTTCCATTTTTTTAAAGAGTATATTTTAAACAGCATTTATATATTTTTAAGTGTTTTTACCGATTTGAGAGAGAGGAACGGGTCAGCTGCTGCCTACTGGGGATGGAGCCCACACCCCAGCGGTGTGCCCTGCCTGGGAATGGGGCCAGCGCCCTCCGGTGCATGGGGTGACGCTCAGCCAGCTGAGCCACGCCGCTTGTAAAGGATTGCATGTTGTTGTTGTTGTTTGGAAGTCCCATGACTTGTCCTGGCTGGTGGGGCTCAGTCGGCGTGCCCTCCATACTCCAAGAGGTGTCTGGTTCGTCCCCAGGCCACAGACCCTGGCTGCAGGTGCCATCCCGGGTGGGGCACAGGTGGGACATAACCAGTGGATGTTTCTCTCACATCGGCCTTCTCTTCCTCTCGCCCCCCCCCCCCAAGATCAGTTAAATAAATAAAGGAGGTGACTTATCTGTTGCCCAGTTATTACCTTGTTTTGATTTTGTTTATAAAAATAAAGGCTGAATAATGAACATCTTTGTGTTTAAAATTTTTTTCTTTGATTTATTTCCTTAGTTTAGTTCAGTAGCGGTTCTCAAACTTGGGTATCGGTCAGTATGGCCTGGGAGGCAGGTTAGACACAGATTGCTGAGCCCCACCCTCAGAACGTCTGGGTGAAAACTGGCCTTTTAACAAGTTCCCGAGTGATGCTGCTGCCGCTGGTGCAGGAGCCCTGTGGGCGCGCTGGCCTCTGGCATTGACAGTGAACCCAGACTGAGGTTGAGTTTCTCATCAGGAGGAGTGATTATGATCTTGAATGAAACTGTGTTCATGTACCAGCCTGTCTGTATCAGGAAGTTGAAGAGAGAGGAATTGTATCAGTCCCTCAGCAGTGAGAATTTGTGCCATTTGTGGAATGGGAGTGCTGGTTTGTGCAAGTTCTGCGCTGGGAATGGTGAGGTAGGCTTCCTTTTTTGGCTGTTTTACAATCTGTCTGTGAGATAAAACAGATACAACTCAAAAGCGCTGGGGAAAGTAACAAACACAGGGCTTCAGAGTTCAGAGGGACACGTTTGGTGGTTGGCTTGTTAAAATGCAGGAGACCTGGAAATAGAAGGTCCCAGAAGAGCGAGGCTATCTTTAAGAAGCTTAAACAGGATGGCATTAGGAAAGCGTGGGGGTTTCAGCCAGGCAGGCCCAAGTGCCAGGCCCGGTCTGCTCCATTAGCGGTGGTCACTCTTCTCCCTGAGTCGCCGTGGCCCTCTGTGAGGGGATAAAGCCTCGGGGTGTTCGTGGAGAGAACATAAGACGCCAGTGGTGTCTTGTAGGACACGCTCAGCCATCGTGGAGCAAATGGCGGGCTTCCTGAAGGTTTTCGTGGTGCTGCTCACCTTCATAACCAACAGCCACCCACAGGCACAGAGGTGATGGTGCCTCCTCACACAGCTCTTTGGGTTAAATGTTAACAGAAAAGGGGGCACCCAGCAAGTGTGACATTGCTGCTACTTTGTGGTCATCTTGCGGTAGACTGTGGAGTGGCCCGGAGTGAATTTCCTAGGACCTTCCAGCAGCCTGCCTACCCTGCTGTCCCCAGGGACGCTGGGCGGAGGCATTGTCCTCTCTGATCACATTATAAGCTCCCTTTCCGCTCCGGCTGCTGTCAGTCCACGGGCTGACTGGTATTTGCTGGTGCGTTTCTCCCCACCCGAGCTGAGGGCTGCGGTAGGTGAGGACTCAGTCTGCTTCAGGCTGCGGTACTCACCCGCGCAGTGGAGGCGGGGCCTAGGAAGCTGAGGGGAGGAAGGAGAGAGTGGGTGGATTCTGTTCTCCCATGGTTTTGTGAGCATATTTAACCTCAGTGGCACTTCACTTGTATTTTTAGCTCGTGCTCTATTTTGAGGACACCCTAAGTCCAGTGGAATGATTTTGTTTCTGCAGTGATATTTGTTGAGAAAAAAGGAGAGCATCAGCTAAAATATTTTTAGACAGTTTCTACAGAGACTTTGTAAGTCACCAAAATTGTACTCCAGAAATTCTCTTGACTTTGGAAGAGGCAGCAGAGTGGCTGTGATGACAAGTGACTGACAGCGCAGACATACTTTACGTTGTTACTCTTGCTCTGATCAGACAGACATTGTTGTGCTGTTTTTTTTGGTAGCAGTGCTCTTTGCTTTCCTTGGGCTCCAAGTCAGTCTGGTAAAATAATGGATGTTGCTCTTTCCCAGGGATTAGTTTGGTTTTATTACTTCTGCTCTGGTGTCCCCTGGACTGATGATCTGTATTTGTAGAGGCAGCAGTCACAGAGATAGTACTATTTCTTTTTTAAACATTTTTTATTGATTTTGTACAGAGAGGAAGGGAGAGAGAGAGTTAGAAACATCGATGAGAGAGAGAGTCATCGATCAGCTGTCTCCTGCACACCCCCTACTGGGGATATGTCCACAACCAAGGTACATGCCCTTGACCGGAATTGAACCCAGGACCTTTCAGTCCCCAAGCCGACGCTCTATCCATTGAGCCAAACTGGTTTCGGCGATAGTACCACTTCTTGTTCGCTAATTTGTAACGTGTGACTTTCTGTAAAACAGTTACTTTCCAGTTTCGGTTTGCTCATTAATACCTTGGTGGCTCTTGCTTCCCATCAACTGATAAGAAGCTGATACAGCTCCGATTGGCAATGGGCGGGTTGAGTTGGCTGCCTTGATCTTAGGATTCTAAACATACAAGCCAGAAACACCTTTAATTTAGAAGCTAGGTCATTGCAGAATATGATACTCTAAGATACCAAAATTACCACTACTGATATGAACAGGACTCACGCTCAGATTTCTCATTATCACAAACACCTCTCCGCGGTCTGTTTGACCTGGGACCTAAAAAGGTTCCCACGTTGGCTTGTTTGCCATAGTCTGGTCTGGGAGGTGTCGCCCCTCCCTTCTTTCTCATGCTATTTATTTCCTGAAGACATTGGCTCATTTGTTCTGCCGGAATTCTAGCATTCTGGGTGTGGCTGATTGCTTGCTGAGGTTATTTAATTTGGCAACATCAACATTTATGTCTTCAAAACTAGAAGTTAGATCTTGGTAAGATTCAGGTTCCGTTTGTGTGTTTTTTGTAAGAATACTTCATAACTTGTGCACTGGGCACTTCATAACGTGGTATGTTAGGAAGACTCTCGTTTTAGTAATATTACAATTGATTAGTAGGTTTAGGTGTTAATAACTTTTTTGTCTTTATTTCAGAAAAGCTTGATTCTTTGCTCTCAGACTACGATATCCTCTCTTTATCCAGTATACAGCAGCACTCAGTCAGAAAGAGAGACCTACAGGCATCAACACATTTAGAAACACTGCTGACGTTTTCAGCATTAAAAAGGTAATTTGAATTATTCATAGAAAATGTTGGGGCAAGGGACACTTGGTTTGGCAAAAACTGAAAAATAAGTTGTTTTTTCCGCCAAAGGTTATTTATTTTTTCAACTATAGTTGATACACAATATGCTGTTAGTTTCAGGTATATAAGGGTAGCTTGGGAAGTTACATTTTTAAAGGTTTGTAACTAGTATAATTAGTCTGTCAGATTATTACACTGCATATTGCCTATTCTAAAATTTACACTGATGATTATTTTAAAAAAGTAAATAGGTATCCCCAAAGTGTCAGTGATGGTAATATTATAATATGGTTATTGAATTCTAACAAAGAATTTTAATTGACTGTGAATAGAACCCACTAAGTCACACTGGCTAGGAGTGGTGATGGATTTAACTAGACTTATTGTGATGATCTTTTTGTGATATATACAAAAAAATAGAAAATGTTAATTCAGATATTAACATCAGTTTGTGGTTACTGTAAATCCTTAAAAGTCAGAAAGATAAATGAAAATTATAAAAGAATTCTGTAAGTACATGACTTCACATAATTTTGGGAGGATAGAGTAACACATAGATTCTGACTGATACCTTGTGTGGGAGGCTTTATAGCTGAAAGTTGAAGATTGGAAACTCAAAAAATAGGGATTTTATATTAGCTGGCCCTTATCTTTATAATAGAGCAGATTAGTAATGTAGAAAATGAAGAGCACATGCCGGGACTGGTGTGGCTCAGTGGATAGAGCGTCGGCCTGCAGACTGAAGGGTCCCGGGTTGGATTCCGGTCAAGGGCATGTACATTGGTTGCGGGCACATCCCCAGTAGGGGGTGTGCAAGAGGCAGCTGGTCGGTGTTTCTCTCTCATCGATGTTTCTAACTCTCTGTCCCTCTCAATTCCTCTCTGTGTAAAATCAGTAAAGTATATTAAAAGAAAAGAAAAAAAAAGAAAATGAAGAGCACAATTCCAGTGATTTTTCTGGAAAGAATATTAGTAAAAGCAACGTGGAGACTGCTGGAGAGCTCTAAAATGACATGATAAGGCATTTATAATAAGTTCTCAGCATAACTGACAGTGGAAACACACATACCTGTGAATGTGTGCGAAGCTATGCTTTAGGATAGCAGAAGATGTCCCAAGGTTTTCTGCAATAATGTGCTATTGTCTCTCTTGTGACCACAAACAAACTAAAATTGCCTTGTTATGCTCAAAAATGTTAAACATATTTGTTGCCATGGAGACAATCTCAGCCTAGATTCTTGCAGTTTAGACTTATGCAGACCCATAGGAAGTAACAGTTCATATTTTCACACCACAGCTGACAAAGTTGGTTCCTGTGGCTAAGATGAAAAACACCTTTATTTTTTTTATGTTCATGGGCATACTGAAAGGACTCTGTAAATAACAAGTGGAAAATTCTATGCCTAATTCTAAAATCAAAACTGAAGCTCGTAGAAAACAAAAGAATATTAAGCCAACTAAAGAACTGCAGTGTGTATTTTAATGTCTGTGTTGTTTTTGCCTTGTATTTATTTTCCTCGTGGTATTGTGGATTAATTTTTTCAAGATCTTTTTAGAAGGAGAATAAATACAGAAAAGCAGCATCTATTAATTTTACACAGCAATAACCTTAGGTTGATTGCTAGAGGCAGCATAGTACAGGCTTCTGAAATGAGCCAAATTCAACTTTCAGTTTTGCCATTTACCAGCTGCATAACCTCCAATATATTGATTAACTTCTAAGTCTCAATTTTCACTGTGCGAAGTGGATATAACATGTACAGAGCATCTAGGACAGAGTGGGTGTTCAATAAATAGTATCCAATAATATCAGTTTTTAATAAGTTTTTAGGACAAGCAGGACTTGGACTTACACGATACTATCCAGATGTGTGTTTCCTTATTCTTCAGCCTCCAGAGAAGATGAATGCCCAAGCTGTTTGCGTCTTCTTTCCCAGGTCTAGGTTCTCCTGGCTGCCAGACCCTTACACTAAAGAGATGAGTCTGTGTTTGCAGGGGGTACAGTGCTCTACGCACCTAGTAAAACAGTAGTGAAGACTCGCATGGCTTTTTAATGTCAACTTCTCTGTCAACTTCTTTTTTAAGGAGTTTAATTAAAAGAAAATTGGGCTTTCATTTTGTGTTCTTAGGGTAAAATATGGATGCATTTTTTTCTGCAGGCATTTTAAGTTATACCTGACGTCAAGTACAGAACGCTTTTCCCAAAATTTCAAAGTGGTGGTGGTCGATGGTAAGAATGAGAGCGAGTACAGCGTCAAGTGGCAAGACTTCTTCAGCGGCCACGTGGTCGGTGAGTGGGGAGCTTGCTTGCCTTTGTGCCTGGGTGGGAGGGTCCGGTCTAATTGACTGAGTATTTATATTCTTTTCTTGGGGCTGGGGGAGGAGGACCAAACTGCTGTTCTTTGTTTTATCTGAACCATCTACTTTGGAAGCAGAGACATTCCAACAGGAGGATATGGGTATTACCAGCTGGCACACTAGCTGGCCACTTGGATGATTGAAATGAGTTTCCTCTCAAGTGATTTCACCTTTTCTTTAGACTTCCCTTGAGATTTTAAACAGAGGATTTAGGAGATAAAATAATTGACTTTGTAATCCTGTTTTATATTTAAGAAAATATATCCAACTAGCAATTGTCATTTACTTCAGAAACAAACGGCACTGAAATCGTCAAATAGAGTTCAAGACCTCTGTTTCAAATTTGTTTTCTGCCTCCTCTTAGTTTTCTTCCTTCCTTCCTTTCTCTTTCTCTTTCTTTCTTTCTTTCTTTCTTTCTTTTTTTTTTTTTTAAATATATTTTTATTGATTTGTTACAGAGAGGAAGGGAGAGAGATAGAGAGCTAGAAACGTCGATGAGAGAGAAATGCCGACCAGCTGCGAATGTACTACATGCCCCTGACCGGAATCGAACCTGGGACCTTTCAGTCCGCAGACCGACGCTCTACCACTGAGCCAAACCGGTTTCGGCTCTTTCTTTCTTTCTAACCCAAAGTAGGCAGGTTATTCCGGGAGGAAATGCAGGTTGGTTTTGTTGGGTAACAGACTAGATCGTTCTCACTCAGCAGCTGGAGGCCGGGAGAGGTTTCGGTTGACTGGACAGAGCCCCTGCTGAGGCGGGTCTGCTCCGCTTCGGGGGCTTTTCCCGGTGTGCAGTGTCTGGGCAGATTCACTCTGATGAAGGGCTTTGTTGAGTTTTAATGGCAGTGGGGCATAGTTTATTTTTTTATGTAAGTATTTTATAATAATGAAAATTTTTTTTCTCTTAAGGTGAGCCTGACTCTAGGGTTCTAGCCCACATAGGAGATGACGATATTACAATAAGGATCAACACAGATGAGGCAGAATATAATATAGAGGTAAATCTGACATGAGTTTTTTCTTAGCATGTATCTTTTTTTCTTCTTCAAATGTCTATTTTTATTATATTTACTGGAATAACACTGGTTAATAGCATACATTTCAGGAGTACATTATAATACGGCATTTGCACACTCAGTTGTATGCTCACCCCTGAAGTCAGATCTCCTTCCCACACCTTGTATTTGACCCCCTTTGCTCTCTTGGTCCTCCCCTCACCCCTTCCCACCTGGTAACCACCTGGCTGTTGTCTTCGTTTGTCTTCGTTTGTTGCTTTTTGTTTCATATCCCATATATGAGTGAAATCGTATGGTTCTTGTCATTTTTCTCTCTGACTTCACTTAATTATCTCTGATTTTTATTTATTTTTATTTTTTTATTTTTTATTTTAAAAATATATTTTGTTGATTTTTTTTTACAGAGAGAAAGGTAGGGGACAGAGAGCTAGAAACATAGATGAGAGAGAAACATGGACCAGCTGCCTCCTGCACATCCCCTACCGGGGATGTGCCCGCAACCAATGTACATGCCCTTGACCGGAATCGAACTCGGGACCTTTCAGTCCGCAGGCCGACGCTCTATCCACTGAGCCAAACTGGTTTGGGCTTATCTCTGATTTTTAAAAAGTCGTTTCTCAGTTGTTGTAAGAAGACAAAGGTCTATAATTATACTTCTTTCCTTGTGTTTAAAGTTTTTTAATATGGAAAGTAGATGATGTCTTAAAGAAGGTGATATTTTTTACAAATGACTAAGAAGCACTGTATTTCTAATACCATAATTGAGTGAAGGTCACCTGTGGGTGGGTAATAGAAAGAGAAACTTCCTTCCCTCCCACTCACTGTTTCCTTATTCTTACTCTCATAACCCTGTTACAGAGCCCACCTTCTCAAGGATGAAGGAGAAGTCCTATTTGCCCATTTCTCCTTTTCTCCTTTTTTTCTCCTAGATGCTCTGGAAATGCAAGATCAGTAAAGGCTAATAGTTGGTAGTCTGAGGGGTTAAAGAGGAATTAGGACACTCGGGCCCCTCTTTCATTAACGTCCTCGTGGTAGAACCAGGCTGTTCTGGTCCCATTTGTGGGGGACACGGAGCCTGTGTCAGGTGTTAGTCTGGGAAATGACCTTTGCCCCAGATGGCGGGTCCAAGTTATCCTGTGTTCCTAAGAAATGAGAGTACTCTGCGTAGTGGTGATATCACCAAAACAGAACACCTGTGGGGAAACTATCATTAAATTGGTTAAAATGGAAGGTTCAAGTGTATTTCAGTGCTGGTAATCCATGCATAGTTAAAAAAGCTCTTCATGAGTTTTTTTCTTCTTTCCAATTTAGGGTCCATTTAGTAATGGTTATTATAGGATTCAGCACTCTTAGAAATGGTGATAATAGGATTTGCTTTTAGTACTAGTAATAATAACTACCTTCATTTTGATGTCTTTATATGTAACTGGATTCATTATTTTACATTATCTTCAGAATAGGTGTTACCACTGCTTTACCCAATGAGGACAGTTATGCTCAGATATGTTGACATCTCCAAGGCAAGTGGTGGGGGACAGCTGAGGTTTGAACCTGGGTATATCTGATCCCGAAGCCTGCTGTCTTTTTCTCTGCGATTGGGGCTGCAATATGAAACTATTAATATGAATTTAGAAATGTTTGTGCCCAAAGAAAAAAAATGTCCTCTGCCTCTTTGTTGGCCAGATTCAGGTTTATGAAGGTTCCTATAGCGAGGAGTTGGTTAGTGTTAAATTTTTGAGTTCTCTGTTAGCCCTGAGGTTCTGTAACCTTTGTTTTTTAAATCTGCCTCATACATGGATTATAAAAGAGTATATATGTATTTAACAGCTTTATTGAGATATAATTCACTGTACAGTTTACCCATTTCAATTATAACTTGGTGGTTTTTAGTATTTTCATAGAATAGTGTAGGTATCACCATGATCAGTTTTAGTACATTTTTATCACCTCCATCACCCTTCCTCCCCAACTCCCCCAGCCCCAAGCAACCACTAATCTGCTCGCTCTCTTTAGATTGGCCTGGTCATTTCACATGAGTGCCACTACACAATATATGGTCTTTTGTGACTGCTGCTTTCACTTAGTGTTTTCATGCTTTATTCGTGTTGTATTGAATAGCATGTGTCCAAACTTTATTTCTTTTTATAACCAAGTAATATTCATTGTATGAATATACCACCTTTGCTTATTCCTCCATTCATTGGACGTTGAGTTGTTCCCACTTTTTGGCTGTTGTGAATACACTGCTGTGAACACTCATGAACACGTTCTTGTGTGAGCTTATGCTTCCATTTCTCTTGGCCGTGCACACAGAGTGGGACGCTGGGTCCTGTGATTACGCTGCTTTCCATAGTGGTTGTGTTTGGCATGCTCACACTTTACACTCCCTGCATCGCACAGTCCGAGGTACAGTGGCACCAGCAGTGCACGCGAGTCTGATTTGTCCACCTCCTCGCCAATACCTGTTATTGGGTGTATTTTTATTATAGTCTTCCTGGTGGGTATGAAGTTTTCTTGTCGTATTATTTTTCATTTTCATGATGGATATGGATGTGTGTGTGTGTGTGTGTGTGTGTGTACGTAAATTTTATCTTTTTGAACCTTTCTCACAAGCTATTTGGTTCTGATGAGACCAATGTCCTTACAGAGTGAACTTGGGTTTGAAATAACAAACATTCTTTTGACTTAACATAGCTTTTGAGTATGTTAGTTCTGATTTACAGTGGCCTTGCAATATTGTAAGGGAAGGTATTTGTTCTTCCCTGTGCATAGAAGATGTTAAGGAAACTAGAATGAAAAGGCATCAGAACAGAACCTTGTCTAACTTTCCTGCTGTCTGCATGTCACCCAGCATGGTTGGTGTTAATATATATATATTTTGAATCAATGAATGGAAAAGGATATGCATTTTCTCTTCTGATTCTTCTAAAAGGTTTCATAACTTAATGCCCTTCTTCATATACAGATAAACAAGTGAATAATCCATGTATGTATTTACCAGCTTAGAAATGATGATAAAAATTGAAATGGTTTATTTTTTATAAAAATGACTATCCAGTTTACTTAGCGTGGAAACGAATGTTATCTAAAAACAAGGAAAGAATGTAAGAATTTGATGGTTAGGAATTTTTATATTTTTTCATCTCAATTATGTTTTTTCTATTTTAGCCACTTTGGAGACTCATTAATGATACTAAAGACAAAAGGATGTTAGTTTATAAATCTGAAGACATCAAGAACGTCTCCCGGCTGCACTCCTCCAAAGTGTGTGGCTACATAAAAGCGGAAAGCGAAGGTTTGCTCCCGGAATGGCTGGTAGCTGGAAAGGCACCTGATGGTAAGACTTAAAAACATATTTAAAATAAGAAACAGGCACTGTGCTGTCTTCAGTGGGGTGTTAAATAGATTTTTTAAAAAGCACGTTTCTCAAGAAACTATAGTATTTGGCTTGAAAATAGTTTTGTTCAGAAATTTTTATGTTAATTCTTTTTTTTTTTTTTTTTTTTTTTTTTTAAGAATTTACTCATTTATTCAATGACACTCACGTCCACATCTTTTGAACATCATCATAACCATCCAATTCCTGAATTTCCTGGTGAATTTCTTGTGACTCCTCTTCTTTCAGAATCAGTGGACCAAAATTCTCATGTTCAGCCCAAGGGGGAAAGGGGGGGCCTTATTTTCTGAGGATGTCTTATATTCGGGGAAACACAGTACTTGTCGCTGGGCCCTGAGGGCGAAGTGTCTGCCCCATTCGCAGGGAAAGGCCTTCCTTGAGGACAAGGGAGCTTCATGCTGGCATGCGGTCTGAACCAGCGGATGATGAGGTTTCTGTGGCCACTGCGGACCCCCATCCCCATTCACATGGCCTTATCCACTGGACCGCTTCCGGGTGTTGCCTCTGACCCCAATCCATCCTTGGCTTGGCCTCTTCTGCCCATCAGTGAGCCAGCCCCCCAAAACCCAGGCCTCCTTGTTACAGTAGTTGCCGCCGGGCAGCAGGCCTCAGGGCCAGAAGGCCTTCCCCCCACCCCCTCGCCCCTCCCCCCCTCCCAGTATCCCTGGTGACCAGCCTTTCTCCTGCTTACTCCTGTCCTTCACCTGGCCCTGCCCCCTCCCTCGTTGCCATGACAGCCTTCAGCTGTTCACCTGGCCCCGCCCCTAATTCTTTTGCCTATAATATAATAAATGAAAACACTAGAAAACAACTGGTAACAGTAATGATTAGACTTTAAAAAAAGATTGGGGAAAGGAATTGAATAATCTGAGGGCAAATATTTTTTATTTGCAGGTATTTAAAAATGACAGTACAGTCTTTAAATAAGTTGATAAGACATTATTTAGTAGCAAAAAAGCTCTTTAATGTTTGAAAAGATTAAGCTTATCAGTTTGGGGCAGATCCATTTAGCATCTTTTGAAAACAACCATCTTGGAGAAATAGTCTACTATCCTTATTTTTAAAAACCTTAGAAAATATTACTAGCATTTTAATATATAAATTCTTAAACAATTTGATTATTTGATAAGAAAACCCATTAATACAAACTAATCTTAATGTCTGATTACATTGATATTTTTTACCATTGCCTTGGTTAATTTGTGGACTTCTAGAATAGAATGAGAGCCTCATAGCTGAGCAACAAATAGCTGATTGCTTTACTTTCAAGTACTTTTAAAGTTGCCTCATTTTAAAAATTACAGAGACACTTTCCCCTGATTTTGAATTCTACAGTTTTTATTGATTTTTTTACAGAGAGGAAGGGAGAGGGATAAAGAGTCAGAAACATTGATGAGAGAGAAACATTGATCAGTAACCAAGGTATATGCCCTTGACTGGAATTGAACCCAAGACCCTTCAGCCCGCAGTCCAGTGCTCTATCCACTGAGCCAAACACTCAGGGCACTTCTATAATCTGTAAAATAAGTATTATTTTATTGCTTTCAGAGAGGAACAGAGAGAGGTAGAAATATCTATTGACTAAGCCAAACCAGCTAGGACTTGAATTCTACAATTTTAAAACTTCATGTTACTTTTCACTTTTTCTTCAAATTGTTTTTTTGTTTGTTTGTATGTTTGTTCAAGATACCTGTAAGGAAACTAAACTCATGTAGTGTTTGTTTCAAAACTTTGCTAGGTTTAAAGTGTTGTTATAAAAAAACTCCTTGTTTTGATGAATTTTGATTTAATAGTGCATACAAATTCATATTAGAGCTTGTTCACCGGGTGAAGAGAGCTGACCCTAATCCCATGAAGAACACGTGTAAATTGCTGGTGGTGGCAGATCATCGCTTTTACAAGTACATGGGCAGAGGGGAGGAGAGCACCACTACCAACTACCTGGTAAGTATTTGATCCTGGAGGAGGTACTGGGCGGAACGCCTCCTCTAGGCAGTCTCACTTCAGTAGGGAGGGGACTGCTGTCATTTGAAACATAAAGAAATGGATCCGTTTCTGATGCCGTATTATTTTGTAAAATATTTGAGGGCTATCTGAGGTTCTTGAGTTACTGCATAGAGATTTTAGTTTCAAATTTTAAAACCTGTCCTACCTTTGAACTATTATTTTCTGCACATTAGAGCTTTCATGCATATTAAGTTTAGGGCAAATTTATTACACAGGCCTCTCTTTGTCCAAGTGAATTCTTTGAAAACGTTACTGCTAAAATGGCAGCGGTCTTATTGGGACAGGTGACTGTTGCTCTAGAGTGGGAACAGTATTTGTATGAAGAATAAACACTGCTGGTTTTTATAATTGGTAGAAACTTTTATAATGGCGTTTTCTCTAAATGACTTGCTTCTATGCACATTTCAGAGAAGATGGGTCAGTTTGGTTTGTGCCATAAAGTAGTTAATTATTGGGCTCTGAGTGAAATAGATGGGACTTTCATGCTCAGAACCACCCTGTGGTGAAGAGAAGATGACGGAAGTGTTGACACTGGGTTTTTAAGCATTTACGAATGTAATTTGGAAAAGTTAAGGGAATCAGATTTCATTGACATTTCTTATTAGTATGACCTCATTTGTCATGATAACTCGGCACTGACCAAATGCTGTTGAGGAAATAAGAGAAGGCAGCTCTTTCTGGCAGAGTCTGGCTCAGGAAAGATGTCTCTCTCACTGCCTCTTGGCTGCCCCTCTGGGCCATGCCCGCCCTCAGCCTCTCCCTCTCCTCCCGCCCTGTGAAAGGAGTCATTGTGAAGCTGGTGGAGTGTGTGAAGTCACTGTAATTTTTGCTCCTATGGAAGAGCTATTTCCTGAAAAAGTTTCTTAATAGGGCTTTGTGTTAAGGAGTTCTCTTCATTTGCTGCTGCTTTGTTCATTATACCAAGAGTATTAATATAATGAAAGGTTTAGTCTTAAAATTTGCATTTCTTGGTCTTTCAGTTACTCTAAGCCAGTGGTTCTCAACCTTTCTAATGCTGTGACCCATTAATCCAGCTCCTCATGCTGTGGTGACCTCCAACCATAAAATTATTTTCGTTGCTACTTCATAACTGTAGTTTTGCTACTGTTACGAATCGTCATGTAAATATCTGTTTTCCGATGGTCTTAGGCTCTGAGCAGCGGTTCTCAGCCTGTGGGTTGCGATGACCACCGCTCACAGGTTGAGACCCGCTAGCAGGGTCGCAGTGGGAAGGAGGAAGGGGGCTCATCTTCCCGGCTGTCCACCTGGCCCCAGGGAGAGCTGCACGCTGCCCCGGGAGGGGGACCTCAGCAGGGCCGGGCTGCTCCTCACTCTCCGAGGAAGGCTTTGAGGAACTTGCCAAGAGACCGAGTGAAGACCGAGTATTTCTTAGGAGAGACTGTTTTAGGTAAACGGATTGACTTCTTTTCATTTCTGTAACTGACTGGAATGGCAAGTTTTTAAAAGAACCCTGTGACTTGGTATTTTGGTTCCATATGCAATTGATTACTTGATTTACTAGTGTGCAGCACTGTTTTACTCTGGTAACAAGACTTCATTTGGGCTGGAATAACTTCTTTGTCAGCGCTGTCAGTGATAGAGAACAGCATTATGCAGCTTTTGTAATTGGAAGAAACTTCTCTAACGGCATTTTCTCTGCACTGACTGCTTCCTCCCTCGGGGTTCTTCCCGTTGCCGAGAGCAGTGCAGGTGTGCGTAACGCCTCCCTCTCCCTCCCGCAGATAGAGCTCATTGACAGAGTGGATGACATCTACCGGAACACTTCCTGGGACAACGCCGGCTTCAAAGGGTACGGGATCCAGATAGAACAGGTACTTCCCGGGCCTGTGGCTGACGTCCTCCGCTAGGCTCTGTGATGCACATATTCGTCACTTCAGACGTAATCAGAAATGTTCTCAAAAGCCATCATTCTTATCTGTTAGATTACAGTGTTTTTATATAAATTATTTGTAGATTGTGCAGTTTTCTGTTCTTAAGCTTGTTTAGGCAAAAAGGCTTTCTTGCTGCTCTGAGCTCTCCCTTCTTGAATTCAGGGCCTTTTGCCCCGCCCAGTTTTCCTTGCCTGTGACCATGCTTATGTCTTTAGTTAGAATCTGTAGGCAGAAGAGTTGCTCAGAACTATTGTGTACAGTGCATGGCATTGATGCATACAGAACCAGCAGCTCTCTTTCTCCCTGATTTCTCTTATCTCGTTAATAGAGTATGTCCAGCGCAGCTGGTGTGGCTCAGTGGTTGAGCATCATCCCATGCACCAGAGATTATGGGTTCAACCCCCAATTGGGACACATGTCCGAGTTGCAGGCTCAGTCCCCATAGGGGTGCACAGTGTATTTTGTTTTGCTTAATATCTTTATTGATTTCAGAGAGGAAGAGAGAGAAACATCAGTGATGAGAGAGAATCATTGATTGGCTGCCTCCTGCATGCCCCACACTGGGCATCAAGCCCGCAACCCGGGCATGTGCCCTTGACGGGAATCAAATCTGGGACCCTTCAGTCCACAGGCCAATGCTCTATCCACTGAGCCAAACAAGCTAGGCTATGCAGTATTTTTATTTCTCTAAAAAAACAAAAAAATAAATAAAAATATGTCCAGCCACAGTGCTGACATATACACAGTAAAAGATACATCTTAGTATCTCGTAATAAAAATTGTTCCAAATTTATAAGACTAATGAAAAAGACTGTTCCAGTCGAAACCAGTTTGGCTCAGTGGATAGAGCGTCGGTCTGCGGACTGAAAGGTCCTAGGTTTGATTCCAGTCAAGGGCATGTGCTTAAGTTGTGGGCACATCCCCAGTGGGGGGTGTATAGGAGGCAGCTGATCGATGATTCTCTCTCATCGATGTTTCTAACTCTATCCCTCTCTCTTCCTCTCTGTAAAAAATCATTTATATATATATATATAAAGACTTCTGAAATTGGGTATTGATCTGGACAAACACTTTGATACGGAAATTATTGTTTATATTTTTTTCCTAGGCTTTATTCTTAAAGGCTCTGTAGCTAGAATTTAGAGAGTTAAAAAAATCCTTGAAATTATATATCATTCTTATAAATGTTAAACTTTTATATACTTGCATAAAACTAAGAGAATTATTTTTCCCTTTTCCTGTTCTTTTACTTGCTTTTTCTTTCTTTAAGTTGTTGTTTGAATAGGTAACATATACATGTGGCACAAAGCCAGGGAAAAGTAAGTCTCCCAATCCTGCTCATTGTCACACCAGCTTCTTTCCCCAGGACACCATGCCAGCTAGTTCCATGTGTGTTTTTCCAGAGACCTTTCTGCATGTATAGCATGTGTGTGTGTTTGTGTGTTTGACACAGTGGTGCTATGCAGTACTCTTTGGATCATGCTTTTCCATTTCATGGATATGTTGGTGACTACCCCGGTGGCTCAAATAAAGCTGCCTCACTTTGTTACAACAGCTGTGACTGGTGTGAGTTTTAGAGGGTCAGTAAAGAAAGCTTTTTTTTGTTTTGGAAGTTGAATCAGTTGAAAAGAAGGGTGTGACATAGGAGATAAAATATCAGCTTCTTTCCTGGCAACAGATGGGCAGGAAGATGTGGGTTGGAGGCAGTCACAGTAGGGTTCCTGCTTCACCCCAGAATGCGTCTTGACCACCCACCACCACAGCTGCAAAGCTCACCCAGTGAGCGGAGCGGAGTGTGCCCTCCGCAGGCAGGCAGGCAGGGCCAGAGCGCCTGGCGCGGCCGTGCCCAGCATGGCCTGCTCCCCGCTCTGAGAGTGAGCGGGACCAGGAGCGTTTGTACCACAGAACCAGGAGCGGCCTGTTCTCCACGCCCTTCCGCTCCCGCGGCGCAGTGACGCACGTGCTGGCGGCGTCTCTGCATCGTCCACCAGAGTTGGACTGCCTAGCACACCTTTTCACACACCAGGACTTTGACATGGGAACTCTTGGATTGGCTTATGTTGGTTCTTCCCGCCCGAACACCAGTGTTTTAGGCTAATGGAACTGAAGTTCTCGTTTTCAGCTAAATAGAGAAAATGAAAATTTGGGAGCACATTTATAAATTCATCAATCATTCATTGATGAGTTTTCCATTATCATCTGCTTCTCACTTTGTTTTTAAACATTAATTATTTAGGGCTGAAGAATTTTATGAAATTCTGATTCCATAACTTTTTCTAGAATCAGCTTTTATTGAATATCTGAAAAGTGCAGTATTGTTTGTGACTTTTTCTGAAGCGTTCTAAGTATATTATCTCTTCAAGTATAGATTCTCATTTTCAAGTCTCCACATGATGTAAAACCTGGTGAGAGGCACTATAACATGGCAAAAAGCTACCCCAATGAGGAGAAGGATGCCTGGGATGTGAAGATGCTGCTGGAGGTAGGTGGGGAGCCCTGGGTGTGACGCTGTTGCTGCCACTTGCGATTTCTTGGGGGCGGGGGCGGGGGCGGGGGCGGGGGCAGTGTCTTCTGACAAAGGGCATGTTAGAAAAGGGTCACCAGTCACCTGTCCGCTGCAGCAGGGCCGGCAGCCAGAGGGGCAAAAGGCTGTGCCCACGGGAGAGCTCAGAGCAGTGTGCTGACCTGACGTGTGTGAGGTCTAGTGAAGCCATGGGTAGACACTTGGGGGATGCCCAGGACACACAGTTTTGTATCACTTTGTTAGTGCGTCTCTTAGGTGTATGGGAAGGAAATCAGGTGGCAGATTTATAACTTCGAGATCTAGAAGTTCTGTTCAGGAGTTCTACGTTCTCGAGTTTTTATGCTGGTATGAACTAAAGGTAGCGAACCTAACTGTCCCAGCAGGTGTGAGTGTCCTGTCTGCACACGACGTCAGGGTCTGAGTCTGTGATTACATTGCTTTGCAAAATGACCTAGCACATGATAGTGCTTCTCTCTCCGTAGGTTGGTAATGTGTTAGCTGCCTCTTGGTGCTCTAACAAATTAGCACAGATTAGAGCTTAAAGCAACACTGTATTTATTTAATAGTTTCCCTGGGTTAGTCCAGGTACAGTGTGTGGTTCATCCATATTCTCCGGGGAGTCTCACGGGCCCCAATCCAGTTTTCAAAGCTTGAATGGAATTTCAGAACGTTATCAGCTCTCAGCCAGGTTGTGTGCGCCCCGGCCCGGGGTCACACCCACAGCCTTAGTGTATCGGGATGATGCTCCAACCAACTGAGCTACCGGCCAGGACCCTGCTGCTCAGTTTAAGCATTTTAAAAATCAGGGTTGCCGAAACTGGTTTGGCTCAGTGGATAGAGCGTCGGCCTTTGGACTGAAAGGTCCCAGGTTCGATTCCGGCCAGGGGCATGTACATTGGTTACGGGCACATCCCCGGTAGGGGGAGTGTAAGAGGCAGCTGGTCGATGTTTCTCTCTCATCGATGTTTCTAGCTCTATCTCTCTCCCTCTCTGTAAGAAAATCAATAAAATATATTAAATAAATAAAAATCAAGGTGGTTTTTTTTTTATTGGTAGACACACATTACCTTTTTTTCTTTTTAAATACAATTATTTTTACTTTTATTTATTGATTTCAGAGAGGAAGAGAGAGGGATAGAGAGTTAGAAACATTGATGAGAGAGAATCATCGATAAGCTGCCTCTTGCATATCCCTACTGGGGATGTGCCTGCAACTAAGGTACATGCCCTTGACCGGAATCGAACCCGGGAGCTTTCAGTTCACAGGCTGACACACTATCCACTGAGCCAAACCAGTTTCAGCAAAAATCGAGGTATTTTTAATTGGAAACTGTGGGTTGCTGTAGGAGAGGTTTCTACTAAAACCATTAGCATTCTTGAAATACTTGAGAAGCCTTGTCCTGGTGTGAAGCTCTGAGGCCCTGAGAGAGGCAGGTGTCCAGGACTGGGCCTGACAGAGGTGGATGTCCCCATGCTGGGCTGCACTCTTACCCCAACCCTCGTCGTTCCTCAGAGCTGTGTGAACCGCTCCCAGCCCTCCCTTTGTGTCCCCACCCCCACAAATGGTGTCTGCTCTCACCTGTGCAAGTGGTGGGCGTGAGCTGTGGCAAGGAGCATTGCCCTGCCCTGCCCTGCCCGCACTCTGGGCGCAGACCGGCAGTCACATGGAGCTAGCTGATCAGGAACACGTGGTTGAAACGGCTTCTGATGCCATGTCATTGTTTACCTAATTAAGAACACTTTCCTTTTTAAGCAATTTAGCTCTGATATAGCTGAAGAAGCATCTAAAGTCTGCCTAGCACACCTTTTTACGTACCAGGACTTTGACATGGGAACTCTTGGATTGGCTTATGTTGGTTCTTCCCGCCCGAACACTCACGGCGGCGTCTGTCCCAAGGGTGAGTTTCCCGTTTGCCGAGTGACTGTGGGAACACAGGCTGGTTGGCTTTTATGGATGTTCTGTGCTGAACAGCAGCTTGTTTTCTCTCCTTCAGCTTATTATAATCCGATTGGAAAGAAAAATATCTATTTGAATAGTGGTCTGACCAGCACAAAAAATTATGGTAAAACCATTCTTACAAAGGTATGTTCTTTTATTTTTTAAAAGGATCGATGTTTAGTTTGTTGTAGTTATATATTTATGTAGATGTCTTCTAAAAGAGCAATACATACTAGGTTGTTATTGTTTTTTTATGCCTAAACACTGCTCTTTGGTGAGAAATCTGAAAATAAAAGGTATAAAGAAGAAAATAAAAGTTACTGGTCAGACTTCTTCCAGGCCCCACCGGGGCCATGGTTTTCCAGAAGCTGTGCCCCAGGCCACTGCTGCCCGCTCGGGGTGGTGCGCTGGCCCTGCGGGTGGCTGTGGTCCGATGCCACCGACTCCCCTTTCCTGGGCCCGCTCTTCCTCCTGATTAATAGCGGCATTTCCGTAAAAGTCCTCAGGAGCTTCCTGAGAGGGGCCTGGAGGGAGACTCCTGAGATTGTGCATGCCTTCACCTGCCCTCCAGCCTGACGATTTAGCTGGTGTATTCCCGTTCCCTCCGCATTCGAAGGCATTGCTCCATGTCCCTCAGTGTTTTGTGTTACTAGTAAAGAGTGTGAAGTCACTCCAACTCTTATGCTTTTTATGTGACCTGTTTTTCCCCTGCTGAGTATTTTGGGGTCTTGTTTTTGCCCAGATATACCCAGTGGGAATGTTTAGGCAAAGTCCAGAACGTCCACAGAACAGAGACTCAGTGAGCAGTGACTTAGAGAAGCTCTTCCCCTCTGACCTGGAGCCTGTGTCCTCATGGAGAGCTGTGGAGAGGAGGACGGAGAGCAGAGTCTGCCCCTTTTTAAAACTGGTCTGGCGGTCCCACCCACAGGCTGTTTATAGCTTAGCGCCAGAGCCGGCCCCTGCTGCCCGGATGCTCCAGGGAGCATGGGAGGGGCTGCTGTAGCTGGGCACGTGGTCCTCTGGGCAGAGTTAGGGTTCCGCCCGGGCCCGTTCATCAGGGCCCCCTTTAAGACAGCAGTGGGGTTGGGTATTGGCAAGTAATGTTTTCTTTGCGTGATCTTTAAGGAAGCTGACCTGGTTACAACTCATGAATTGGGCCACAATTTTGGAGCGGAACATGATCCGGACGGTATAGCGGAATGTGCCCCAAATGAGGACCAGGGAGGAAAATTCGTGATGTATCCCATTGCTGTGAGCGGGGATTACGAGAACAATAAGGTATGTGTCTTGGAGCGTCTTGATGTGGTTAGGACAGAAAGTGGCTGCTTAATTATAACCAGAGCGCACAACGGGTCCGATCAGGGATGGACTGCCAGTTCCCAGCTCCTGGAAACTCGTTGTGTGCGGGGAGTCAATGCGGTCGTCACGTCGGTTACAGCTGTTGTCGGGCTGTTTGCTATCGAGATGGAGCATGTGAGTCTGAGCCACTTGGGAACTCAGCAGTAGTTTAGGTTTGTGTCGCAGTTCTAGATCGCAGGCTCTGGTGGGCTCAGAGTGTGTGAATACCTCTGTCTCTTCACTTACAAGTTGTCATTCATTTAGCTCTGCAGTACCTTACCTTTCGAGTGTTCTCATAGGCTGTTGCCACAGGACACAGACTTGGTCAGCTCGAAGCCCCCTATGGGAAGGGCTGTCTCTGTTCGCAGCTCTGACTCCAGGTCACTAGGGAGGGCTTCTGATCGATGCTGGTGGCTTGGGACGTTGTGAACAACAGCAGACGTTAGCAGAGTGTCCCCAATGGTGACCAGTAGCGTGAGCGAGGGCAGGAGGAGCCAGGAGTCCATCTCCAGTCGGGAGAGATGCTGATGTGCGTGTCCTGCCTGTCGGAGCGAGGCCTGCTGTGTCTTACTGTGACACCGGAAGGGCCTCAGTAGAAGTCCAGGGAGGAGCCCTCGGAGAACGTTCTGCCGTCCCCTTTGTGTGCTTCAGCGTCACGTCGCCTTCCAGAGTCCTGTGCTCCGCTCCTCGGGCTTGTGGCTCTGGCTGGGCTGAAAGAAGCCACGTTAGCAATCTGCAGAGAACTGGAGATCCCGCCTCAAGTAACGACGCTGTTTCCCTGCGCCTCACGCTGCTTCCCCATGCCAGAGGGCTTGGCAACTGGACTCTGTCAGAGTGCCTGGCTAGTGACCTGCCGTGTGCAGGAGGAGCCACGTCTTGGTTCTGGGAGCGAGGGCAGAGGAGCCTTTGAGACGCGGGGACCCACGATGTTTAGAGCAGCCGTCGCCAGCTGGTGGTCCGTGAGGTCCGAAAGGCTGGCGACCGCTGGTTCAGCTGTCAGTTATGAATTAACCTTTCAGTAGACTGTAAGACTGCTTCTCCGTAAGCTCACCTGTCTACAGTTTTTAAACATGGATGATTCATACAAATAGCCAGGGAAGAGGGGGGGAGCCGGATGAGCCCATTGTGCCTGCACGTGTGATGGTTTGCACGGTCCCCGGCGGTGCCAGACCGAGGAGGCCCAGCTCGGTGTGATGGAGCGTACACCCTCCACTCGGGCCTGACTGCTTGTCCTCTCGGACTGGCTGGGAGGTTTGGGCTTGGCCTGCGTGCAGCTTGCCTTCCTGGGAAGAATTTTAGGTTCTTCAGAGCAACAGAGGCAAAGCCTGGAGCAGCTAGGCCCGAAACAGCTCACTCCTCGCCTGCCCCTGCCCCACGGCTGCCTCTCAGACATGGCTGGAAACTTTTGTGGGAACTTGAGGGTCTGCTGAATCAAGTGATGAAGGCTTGGGAAAAAAATAAATAAATAAATAAAATAAAATAATAATAATAAAAAATAAAAAAAAAGAATTTTAGGTTCTTTACCAAATCCGCATCCGCTTCTCAGCGTTCCTCGGAGGGGAGGACTCGGTCCCAGGCGGAGGCACTTAGAGGGACAGCCATGAACTGGACACGTCTCCAGGAGCCTCCGAGGACTGTGCATTCAGCTCAGAGAGGCGTGCAGACACAGGAGTGGTTTTCACGCTGCTTTGGGTCCTTCTCTCCCTCAGATGTTCTCCAACTGCAGCAAGAAGTCCGTCTACAAGACCATCGAGGTCAAGGCCCTGGAGTGCTTCCAGGAGCGCAGCAACAAGGTGTGTGGCAACTCCCGCGTGGACGAGGGCGAGGAGTGCGACCCAGGCATCATGTACCTGAACAGCGACACCTGCTGCCACAGCAACTGCACGCTGAAGGCGGGCGTGCAGTGCAGGTGGGCCGTGCCGGGTGCGGGCCGGGGGCCGGGGCTGGGCGCGGGTATCCAGGTCCCGACAGGTTGAAGACACAGGGCCTTTGGAATTGGTGTGAGGACATGTGTGCCGGTTGCATGTATGTGTATGTGTGTTTGTGCGCGCGCACAGGTGTTGACCCTGAGCTCTTGACACAAGAAAAATGCTTCCTCCAAGCAGTCTGACCGTCTGCTGTCGAGCGGAGACTCCCCAGATCAGGAATCGTTCCTGAGGAAACGTGGGGGTTGGGGGGATGTGGATGATTCTTAGGGCTGCATTCCCTGTAATAGCCAGTCCTTGGCACCACCCACCTGGCAGTCCTGGGCAGGATGAGCTGTGTGTGGCCCCGTTAATGGCAAACTCAAGCGGAGGAAGCGGGTTACAAGCTAGAAGGCGCCTCTGCTGCCGCTGTTATGTCCCCTGTGAGCCAGGCCTGCGTGGAGCAGCGGGGAAAGCTTGTTTATGGGGAACACAGACTTGCTGCCTACATACATGTCAGCGTGTAATACTCCGGGAGGAGGGCTGGGCTGCTTAGTTTCTTGACATTGATTGCCTTGCAGGCCAGTGTTCTCTTTTAAATTACTGTATCATGTATATTAAGCTAATGCAAAGGTGTTTTAACACTGAAATGTTATAAAGACGAGTCACTCGGGCCAGGCTGTCCTGTTGGCTGGTGGCCTGCGTGATTCCACATTAGGACGGGCAGGCAGGGTGCATGCAGGTGTCGCCAGCACCTGGGAGCCGGGTTTGCAGGAGTGGGTGACCCAGCCAGGGACCTTGCCTCAGGCCCTGGAACAGGACTGCGGTGCTGGCTCTTTGCTGTCCTCTGACTTGAGCCGTCCCCGTCTGCTCCTCCGCAGTGACCGGAACAGCCCTTGCTGTAAAAACTGCCAGTTTGAGACTGCCCAGAAGAAGTGCCAAGAGGCCATTAATGCCACGTGCAAAGGCGAGTCTTACTGCACAGGTACGGCTCTGCTGCTGCTGGAGACTGCTCCGTGGGGAGAGGCGTGTTTGGGAGCCAGGCTCTCTCCCCTCTGTGCGGAGGGAGTGTGCGCCTTAGTTTGTGGCACACTGTCAGGGTCCTGCAGACCTGTTTGCTCATCCCAGTTTTCCTCCTGCCCCTTCCTCTCCCGCCCTCCACTCTCTGCCCTCCGTAGGCATTCCTTCTGCTGCGGTTAACGTGCATCTGCATATGTGTGTCCTGAAACACGTGCTCTTCTGTGTCTGTGTGTGTTTAACACGCCAAACGGCACTCTGCCTTAGATCTTTCCAACTCACTACCACGCTTACAAGTCATCCTGCTGCCCTGCATGCTATCCATGTCTGTACTGAGTTCATGTTGGGCACCTGCTGAGCGCTCGCCGTGTGATGGTCTCACTCATCGGCGTAGCCCTGGGATAGCCGCCATCTCAGGCGGGGCTGTGCGGACATCCTTCCTCGGCGTGGGCAAAGCGTGTCAGTGCCGAGTGCCTGTGGGCGCTCTGTCCCCACATCCTTGCCAAAACTCTTATTTTTTGCCAGTTTGATGCTTGCAAAGTGATTTCTCATCTTTATCTACAATGTCTTGAACATCTGTCCTGGGGAGTGCGCTTTCAGTCCGCCTGACGGCACTGCCGTAGGTGCTGTGAGTGGGGATGGTCCGCACGCATGTGTTACTTGTCCGTGAGGTTTCCCAGGGAAGCGGTAACAGCCAGTGCTCGGCAGCTGCTCGTGGCTGAGGTGAGGCCGGGAGGCCCCCTCCCAGCCCTCAGCTGTGGTTGGGCCCCGCGTGTTGTCCTTGCCCGGTCACCTTCCCCCGCCAGCCCGGGCCGGGTCGGGCCACGCGTGTGGGTGGCCGTGGAGCTGGAGGCGGGACTCACTCTGCCGGCGGTGCTCTAGGCAACAGCAGCGAGTGCCCGCCTCCCGGGGACGCCGAGGACGACACGGTGTGCTTGGACCTGGGCAAGTGCAAGGACGGCAAGTGCGTGCCCTTCTGCGAGAGGGAGCAGCAGCTGGAGTCCTGCGCGTGTAACGGTGAGCACGTGTCCCCCACGACCTTGTCTGCCCGGCCCAGTCCCTCCACCGGGGCCTGACAGTGCCGGCCCTCACTGCTGTGAGGATGGGCCAGCCCAGCGCCAACAAGGGGCGTGCAGGTGTGTGGGGAGACAGACCTCTGGGTTCAGATCCTGGCTCCGCCATCTTGTCTGTAAAAACCAGCCCATTAGGCTCTCTTCTTGCCACGTTTTCAGACCATGTGGCCGGTGTGGGCGAGTAGGAGGGAGTCTTTGGGTGACAGGTGGTGGCTGTGTCTTCACTGCTCCTTCCAGTGTCAGACACATGAAGGCAGCAGGACCTGTCCCGTTGGCATTGGGCTGGTGCCCCTTCAGCACTTCACGGAGAGCCGGTTCAGGCCTGGCCCGCCGAGGGGGGTGCTCACCACCGGCCATCGGCCGGGCCAGCGGCCTCTCAGGCTGGCTGGCAGTGGCGCTGGCCTCTCAGACACGTGTCCTCAGGCTTCGCCTTAGCTGTGGAGCCCTGGGTCTGGGGGGCACCTCAGGTGGGTGGCTCTGAGCTTCCTGCCCATCCCAGACAGTGCTGTTGATTTCAAAGCCAAGAGCCCAGAAACCACACCCCTGAGCTGGGCCTCAGCAGCCCCAAAGCGGATCAGTGGTCTCTGGGCGGAGGAGCGGGTAAATAAGGCGGTAATACGAGGGCGTGGCAGGAGGCCCCCACGGCCACACGGTCAAGGCCCCGGAAACGGTGGTGAATGAGCGATGACAAGGCCACCCTCCCTGGAGGTGGTTTTTCTGGTTCCGGTGTCCTAGCTGATCTCGGTGGCTGTCAGTGCTGACTCACCTGCTGATGTCTGTCCCTGCTCACTGCCAGGTGGCTTGCTGGGCGTTTCCACTGTTGAGAGGGTGCCAGTGGCTTACCTGAGGCCCGTCACCGCAGGCCCCTCACGACGCAGAGGCTGGCCTCGGGGTGGGCTGCTGTGCACAGACGGCCGTGCCCGTCACAGGTCGCTCAGTCACACCCACAGGTGGCAGCCCTGTCCCCTCCTGTCAGCTGGCGCCCTGGCCCTCCGGGTGTTCTTGCCGTGAGACAAGGGCTGAAAGCAGCAGCATAATAATGCTGGGATGAAGGGAAACATTTTGCATTACGAAGTACAAGGAATAATTTGGTTTTTACTCGTAAAAAAAAACAAAAAAAAAACTTATGTGTAAATGTTTACCTTGTGGCCTCTACTCCAGCGGGGGGAGGGCAGAGGCGCGAGCTCAGAAGTTCCTCCTGAGGGTGGAGCTGGAGAAGAGGCTTTGAATAAAGGCCAGTGGGGAGGAGAGGCGGTGCGGAGACTCACTCGCTCTCCCGTGGTTCCAGAGACGGACAACTCGTGCAAGGTGTGCTGCCGGGACCGCGAGGGCCGGTGTGCGCCCCACGTCAGCGCCGAGGGGAGCCACCTGTTCCTGCGGAAGGGCAAGCCCTGCACCGTGGGCTTCTGTGACATGAACGTGAGTTCGTCCAGCCCGTGGGCGTGGTTCACGGTGTGCTCGGTTTGCACGTGGGAGGAAACCACACCAGGGCTCCCTGCCCCCCCCCCCCCCCCCCCCCCAGCGCTCATTCTTGTGTGATCTGACCGGGAGGTCGGTGTGGGCGCAGCCTGTGGGCAGAGCCGGCGCCCTCGGCAGACGTGAGCGCTCTGAGCAGGGGGGACTGGCCAGGACCAGGACAGTGGGTGGTTGTGGGGCAGCGGGTCCTGATTATTTGGTTTTCTACTAATTATAAAACTGAGATTGCAAAAATACAAGTAAGTCGCCATTTGTAAGTAGGAAAGATCTAGAAGCAGCTTGATCCACCCAAGTCAGACCGTTCGGTCTCTATAGAAACATGGTGGTGAGTTAGTGTTCCCGTTCCCTGGGTGCTCGGGGTCACCCTTCCTGAAATGGTCATCTTTTACACCCTGGTTTCTGGGTCTGTCTCCTGGGAGCCCTAAGCTCCCTTACAGAAGCGGCTGGTGGTGCGGCCTCGGGGACAGCACCTTGCTGTCTTAGAGCTCGCTACGCTTAGATTGTTGCCCGTGGCGTTTGACTTAATGCAGCCCTTCATGGTTAGCTGCGTGTAGAAGCCACAGTGCTTCTCAGTGCATTTCTTTAGGGAAAATGCTGTTTTCTGTTCGTAGGGCAAATGTGAGAAGCGAGTACAGGATGTCATCGAGCGGTTTTGGGACTTCATCGATCAGCTGAGCATCAATACTTTCGGTAGGCGATCCCCCGGGGCTTGTCTGCTTGGAGCCGAGCAGATGTCTGCAGTCATTTGGAAAGTGTAGACCGATCCTGCAGCAGCAGGTGCAGTGGTCACCGTTAGCGCCGTCTGGGACCTCAGGTGGACTCAGTCTGCCCGTGCAGATGGCTGCACAGATTTCAGTGCGGGACTCAGCACTCAGTCAAAGCACTGGCTTCCTTCTCTGCTAAATACAGCCAACGCACAAGCACGGTCAGTCCTTCAGACTGTAAATCTGAAGTTATCTGATGAAGGATTTATTTTAAAAATGGGCCTGATTTTGCAGAAGCAGGGAATGTATTATGTCCTCTGGGGCCTATACTTAGAGGTTAGTCACAAAAATACCCAGAGAGCAACAACACTGTCTTCACAAGCATTGCTCCAGCAGCCTCTGCACAGCGGCTCCCTTCCCAGTGGCTCTGGCCTGCCTGGCACTGGCTGCTCTGTCTGGGGCTGTTGCTGGAAGGGACCTGTGTTTGGGGGTGGGGTCTCTCGGGTGCACAGATACTCGCTGCTCTGCAGAGCCAGGAGCATGTTGGCGGCAGCCCGTGGCATTCATCACGGCGATGATGCTTTCGGAGCAAATCCTGGGAGACTGGATCAGACAGTCCCTCCCTGCACTGTTCACAGGGAAGTTCCTCGCAGACAACATCGTGGGCTCAGTCCTGGTCTTCTCCCTGCTCGTCTGGATTCCTCTCAGCATCCTTGTCCATTGTGTGGTAAGTCACCATTCATAAGTAATGAAATATTTCCTTAACGTTTGAACAACTCCAGCCGTATGATCTTTGGAAAAGATAAAATCTGTCCTTAACAAAGTCTGACCAGTGTTTCCGATAACACAGTGGGGTTAGCCCGAGCACAGCATACCTGTGAAGAGCTTAGCTAACAGGCCCTACAGGAACCTCACTTTCTGTGTGTGGACGTTTCATTCCTGTGTAGTTTCTGAGGAATTTTTTATTTCTGAGCACAGGAGACTGTTTATTATTGTTATCCTCACCAGAGGATATTTTCCCATTGATTTTTCTTTTCTTTAAAAGAGAGTGGAAGGGAGGAGGAGAGACAGAGAGAAGCATTGATGTGAGAGAGACACATCGATTGGTTGCCTCCCGCACGGGCCCTGACCAGGGCCGGGGATCGAACCTGCAACTCAGCTACGTGCCTTTGACCGAAATGCAGCTCAGTGCCGAGCACTCCCCTCGGCGTTAGGAGGGCCACTGAGGAATGTGGGAGTGGGTTCTGACTTTCCAACAATGACCTTTTCCTGCCTCCTTTCCAGGACAAGAAGCTGGACAAGCAGTACGAGTCCCTGTCCCTGTTCCACCCCAGTGTGAGTATGCCGCTCGGGAGGAGGCTCCCGGTGGCCCAGGGAGACCGCGCCCCTGTGGCTGCTGGGGGTCCTGCTGCCGCAGGAAAGACCAAGGGGTCCGTGAGGCCTGGGCCCTCGGCCAGGGCGATGGATGAACACGTAAAGGGGGCGGTGCTGCTCGGCCCACCCTGCCCCGCGCCCGAATGCCCCCGCTGCTCAGACTGATTCGGTTACTGTTTGGAGATGGCTTTGTCTTGAGGCCTGAACTTGAGACTGTTGTAAGCTTCCCTCCGGGTGCTCATATGGTCAGTGGGCTGGCCATTTGCAGCCACCTGTCCGAGTCATTTCTGAGCTGAGCGTGCGGGGTCGTGACACCTGCCGTGTGAGGCTGGGTGGGGGCTGGAGCTGGAGGACGTGCCGCTCACCTTTCCCTCCCCGTCTTTCCAGAATGTTGAGATGCTCAGCAGCATGGACTCGGCCTCGGTCCGCATCATCAAGCCCTTTCCGGGGCCGCAGACCCCCGGCCGCCTGCAGCCCCTGCAGCCCGCCCCCGTGGTGCCGCTGGTGCCGGCAGCCCCGAAGCTGGACCACCAGCGGATGGACACCATCCAGGAGGACCCCAGCACGGACTCGCACGTGGACGAGGACGGCTTTGAGAAGGACCCCTTCCCCAGCAGCAGCACGGCCGCCAAGTCGTTCGAGGACCTCACCGGCCACCCGGTCACGAGGAGCGAGAAGGCCTCGTCCTTCAGGCTGCAGCGGCAGAGCCGCGTCGACAGCAAAGAGACCGAGTGCTAGCTCAGGGTGGGTGCCCCGGCTCCGCCTGTGTGCGCAGTGTTCTTACCGCTCCGACCTCAGCCACTCCCAGGGCAGTGACTGGAGCAGGTGCTGGTCACGTGTCTGGACTCTTGGCACACATACTTGTGCGGTTGGGCCTTTCCTGTGTGAACAGGTAAGGTGAATCTAGCTTATTTGAGGCTTTCAGATTTTACTGTTTATGTTTATATCCTTCAACCTGTGGTGCAGAAGCAGAAAATACAGCTGGATGAGGCCAGAAGTATTTACGTTTTGGTAAAGTAGCATGTCACATCCGTGACGGCACTGATCAGGGCGAGCGCGGCCTTTTCACCAGTGAAAGGAGGGCGAGGCGTTCAGCGGTAACGCGTAAGAATAACTGGAACAGTAATTTGTCCTCCTGCCCTCAGTAAACATACGGAAGACAAAGCTGAGCTGTGTGTCATCTCCATGGCGTGGGTTCTGGCTCTCGGTCCGAGCCCACGCTTCCAGCAGGGAGAAGACCCATTCCAGTCAGGAGTGATTGGGTTGGTTTCTTCAGAATTCTAAGGTCCGTGCTTCCTCCGGTTCAGCAGTGTCGTTTACAGGGAGAGTTACAAGGAGCAGCTGGCGGCCTTACAGAGTCCTGCCTGTGTGAGGCCGCCGTGCTGGGCAGCGTGTGTTCCCGGGCCTCGCGCTGTCCGCCGGTGGCCCACAGCACTGCCTTCCCGGGCTCCCTCAGCCCCCCTGGTCCATCGGCAGCACAGCCTTCCGGTGGCAGCCCCTCTGGCTGAGGAGCCGGAGGCCGGGCCAGGGCTCGGTGTGGGGAGTGGCTGTGCCTCGAGGGAAGGGTCACCGTTGCCTCCATAGGAGAGGCTGTGTTTGATCTGGGGGCGCTTGGGGCCCTGCTGAGGCCAGTGTCGATGCTGGTGGAGTCGGGGTGCAGTCTGGGAGGCTCCTCTCAGATGCCTCATAGCTTGAGCTGTCGGCACCCTTGGGTGCCCGGGCCTGCTGTGAGGGCGCTGCTGCGCCGTCCCCCCCAAGCCCCGGCCTGGAGCTGTGCCATCCCCCGAGCCCAGCCTGGAACTGGGAAGCCGGGCCGGGCTCTTGGCACCGCTGACTTCAGGGAACTGTCTTCCTGGGTGGCAGTGCCTTTTGGGGGTGGCCTCAGGGTGAGATTCGGAGCTGGTCCACTGCCGTTCACTCTGCAGAGCTGTATTTTGGGGCCTTGGAGGCTGGGTGGCTCCGCCATGTCACACTGGGGGGTCGGGTACTGCTGTCCAGGCCGTCTGCTGAGTTGTCCAGGCCCAACAGGCTCATCGCCTTACTCCTGTGGTCCCGGCTGAGCAGGCAGGTGTCCCGGGCACACTCACTTGGGGCCGGCTGGGGCCGGCTGCCCCTCGCTTGAGGAACCCTTCTCCCGCGTGGGCGCGGCCTCAGGTCACAGCCCGGTCAGTGTTGCTCAGACGCGTGGTGCTGACTGCACTGGCTTCCGGACTCTGGACGGAGCGCACTCGTGTGTGAAGGGGAAGTCATCGGAATTCTGACTTCCTTAAAATTCTAGTGAAAAGCTTCTCCCCTGAAACGTGCTCATCAGCCAACATGTTTAATGAGGAACTTATAACCAAACCTGTGACAAGTGGTGTCTTTTCTCCTACGGAGGTTTGTTACACACATGGCTGTTACTCTAATACTTGAACTTGTACCTGTGGTTTTGCTGGCTTTTAACTAGTCACCATATCCTTATATTTTAGTTACACTTTTGGAGTCTGATGGAAGGTGAATGGGTGTATGTGTGAGTGAAGCAGTTCCCAGCTGAATGTAACAAAACCATTTTTTTAATAAAATCGACTTTTTTAAAAATAAAACTATCTTTTACCTTTTCCCCCCACTTACAGCCTCCCCAGCTGCTCAGGGTGTGTGCTGTAGCGGTGGCGTGGGCGGCACCTGCATCTAGACAGTAAACAGCAAAACATACTTGGTGCCAGGCATCCCTGGGAGGTGCAACGCTTTATTCATCCTGGTACAAATGTCTCTTGGTCCAGGGTCACGGGCAAAGGTTGAGCTCGAGCAGACATGCTGCTCAGGTCCCGGACAGCCTCGTGCTCCGGGCTAATGGTCCCCGTCTCCGAGGAGACTGAGCTCCGGTCTGGCTTCGGCCACGTCGCGCCAGTAAGGGAGCAGCAGCGGCAGGGAGGACACCTTCTTCTCGATCAGAGGCCAGAGGTGGGAGAAGAGGAACGCGTTTCCCTGGGGGGACAGGTGCAGGCCGTCGGACAAGTAGGGAGCGAAGTCCTGTGAGGGGAGAGGGGCGGTCACAGGTGCGCCCGGTCCTCCCGGGGCCGCCGTGCACCCAGGCTCCGTGCCCAGGCTCCTCGAGGGACCACTGCCCTTGGCAAGAGCCGCCAGGCAGTGCCAGATGGAGCTTCCCAAGCAGCTGTGTGGACGGGGCTCCTCCAGGCAGTCAGCTCAGAAGCTGACCACGGGGGCTGGTGCGTCCGTGTGGCCGACAAAACGAACAGGTGAGAAGGCAGGGCCTTCCCGCCTCTTGGTGTCACATTGACAGGAGTCGCCGGGAGGAAAGAGCGAGCCCAGTGATGCTGGGAGACCAGGGCCAGTCCCACGCCTGGTCCCGGCAGCAGTGGCCACTAGAGCCGTCTCTGGGCTGAGCCTGCCGGAGCCTCCGTGTTCTCTCTCTGCTGTCCTGGTCGGGCGGCCTCGGCTCTAGGCCTCAGCGTTTCACCGCAAGGGCCTGGGAGAGCGCCCTCCCCCGCAGTGCTGCCTCCCAGCCGGGACCTGGCTGCTGCTGGGGCGGCTCTGGGAGCACAGGCGTGCACCGTGTGAACACGGGGAGTGCCCGCCTCACTGTGTGGAAGCTCGTCCCAGGGGCCGTCCCGTTCTGCAGGGACCAGACTGTTACCTTTCACATTGATAAATGGGCTTTCTGGACTTAGAACAGTTAGCACTACATCTCTCCAATATAAATTCTAGCTGGTAGCACATTCTACTTAAATACATTGTTTGCCTGGTAACAGCTTCCAGCTTCCCCCGTGCCGTGTCAGAAAAGGACGTGGCCTAGCTGTTCTCACATGTGAGCCGCTGACTGCTCGTTGGTTCACTCTGTGCTAACCCTGCCCGTCACTGGGCTCCAGCTGCAGCTGAGGAGCGGGCAGTGCTGGGCCTACATGCTGTCCCAGAGCCTCAACTGTCTGCTCAGAGTGTGGACGGCCTTGTTAGCACACCGGACCGGCCAAGGCCACCCTGAGCAAAGGCTAAGGTACCACAAGCAGGTGCCAGACACACGGTGCACCGAGCCCTTCGGTGGCTGGAACGGTGTTAGTGCTGGCACGGGGCCTTCTTGGTCTGGGAAGGGCAACTGTGTTACTGACCAGGAGCGTGCTGGTGGGACGAGGAGGTGAGGCTGCTGCAGGGAGCTGAGAGGCTGGGCCGTTCGGGGACCAGCCAGCTGCTGGGCAGGGGGACAGGAGGGCTGAGGCTGTTCCTAAGGAGAGCTCAGACGCGGTTGCCATGTAAAGCTGTCCGTCTGGGCCGCGTGCGGCTGCTCAGACAACAGCTGTGGGTGCACAGATGACTGCTGCTACGTGGGAAGGATGTGTTTACCGGCCGGGCTCCGGCTGCCTCTCACTGGGCTGGGAAGAGCTGTTCGGTCTAATGGCTATGGCCACTGGCTAAAACTCATTCTTACATGTTCTCAACTTCTGCTTCTCCGTCTAGAGGTCCAGCCCCAGGCAGAGGGGCTCGGACCCACAGTGAGTGTAGCGAGCAGGGTTCGAGAAGGAACCTACTCTGGCATCGTCGGGAAGAGTTTAGAAGATCAAGGACTCAGAGCAGCTCAGAGCTTTGGCTGGGCTCTGGCTGCATCAGACGCCTACTCAGAGCCACTCACAGCTGAGTCACTCCTGTGACCTTACTCGCCCAAAGGACAGTGAGCCACCATACCTGACCATCCTTCTGCATCAGGGTCCACAGGTCGAGCACGTCCGTCCCGCAGTCTTGGGCCACCTGTAAGCAGGCGCTGGCGTATTCACCCACCACCACGTTGAGACGATTTAACTTGCAGCCTGTGGAGAGAAGGTGACAGACGGCTGCTTAACTCCCTCACTGGCCCTGGGCAGGTTCTGACCGGGATGGCTTCTCGGGTCAGTGAACAGGCACAGACTTAGGGACCAGACGTGGCCCAGCCTTGCAGGCCACCCCAGCCGAGGACGGGGCCCCCGTGGCCCCCAGGGCCTCCTGATGTGGAGCAGAGGCCCCGAGGCATCAAAGGCCCAGGGTGGGCGGGCTGCAGGCTGGTCGGGGGCACGCTGGAGAGAGTGCTGTGCTGAGACCCGAGTTCGTACACGTACCAAGAAGCTCCTGCAGTATCGGGGAGATCACTTGACTTCCCAGCGGAAAGGTGAGCGTTGGGAGGGACCCCAGAGGTCACTGAGGCTCATGCAGGGGCCAGTGGACTTGCTCTGCGAAGGGCCGGATGGCCTGTTGGCAGCTAGTCAGCCTGCCCTGGCGCTCCAAGGAGCCACAGAGACGACCACCAGGCGGCCTGGCTGTCTGCCAGCAGCACCTCCGTGTGCCCAGACTGCAGTGGCGGCTCTCACACCTGGGCACGCCCGCCTCCCCCAGCTCTGACTCAGCAGGGGGCTGGGCGGCCCAAGAACCCGCATTGCTGCCAGGTTCCCAGGGTGCCGACCTGCTGGCTAAGGACTGCCCGATGCTGCTCCTCCGGTTGACACCGAAGAAAGACACAGGGTTACCACCAGGCCTCAGCACACGAGTGAAACGGACCTCAGAACACCCTCTGCTCTCCATGCCGATGGCTCCTGTTCCCCTCAGGGGTGTCTGCTGGCCTCACAGCAGCTGCCTCATGGGCAGGAGGGGCTGTGACCACCTCCAGAGGCTCCTCAGCCAGAGCCTTTCCTTAGCGAAGGGCTTCCTCCCTGACCAGCAGTCCCCGAGGCGGCAACACATGAGGAGCCGACCTTCCACCCAGCTCCCCCGTGCTCCTTCGGGGAGTGAGTGCTCCCTCCAGCCCCAGCCCCTGCTTCAGCGCCGTCAGCAGGCAGCAGTCACACCTCCCACACCCTATCGCCTTGCCTCCCGCACTAGCCCAGGCTCTGGCCTTGCTGAGCACCGGGCCGGGTCCTGGCCAGGTGGCAGGAGGGACAGCGTGTGGTGCCTGACCACGCGAAGGGACGCGCCCTTGCACGTGAGCAGGCAGGCAGCCTGGGCAGGGAGGCTGCAGGGAGCCTTTGTTGTGGGGAAACGGGTCCCACGTTGGGAAGGCAGGTGTCACAGGTGGCAGAGGAGCAAGGACCACAGACAACGGGCAAGGCACCGCCCACTGCCGGGCGTCAGGAAAACACCCCAGGGGGCCCGTGGCCAAGGCACACAGACTCGGCCTCAGCGTCTCGCCACGCAGGACCGTCTGTTCCGAGACGCCACAGCCCTCAGCACAGAGCTCAGGCTGCGGGCGCCAGGGGGGTGGGCACTGACAAGGCAGCAAAGGCCAGGCCGGCGGCCCAACTTGGCACAGCCCGGCTCCGACTCCCAGGCCGAAGTTCTCGGTGTGGCCCCGCGCTGTGCTGCCTGGAACCTGAGGCGGGAGCGCCCCGCAGGACCCAGGCCCGCCCAGGCCTACCTTGCACCAGGCACTCCTTCTCCCAGGCGGCCTCGCAGAGCGGGGGCGGCGTGATGAGCACGATGCGGCCCTCGGGGACGTCCACAGACCGCAGGTACTGCACCATGCTCCTCAGGTTCGCCACGTACTCGTCCAGCGGGATGTGCTGCTTGGGGTTCTCCTCTGTGCGGACCAGAGGGAAGTGACAGGTCAGGGCCCGGGCACCACACTCAGGAGATCACGGGCAGTCGTGGGCACCAAGGCCAGAGGGGGGGGGGTTCAAGCACACAGTTCTTCCCAAGGCACCTCCAGGGCGCTGGCTCCCTGCAGCCATGTAGCTGGGGCGGAATCTGTGAGGAAGAGCCGGTGTGGGTGGGACTGCCCGCCCCGCCTGGCCCGTCGCTGGCCGGCAGTGCCCTGGCACCACCTTCTGAACCGGCTCCCCCCGTGAGAAGAGGGTAGTGGTCCCCCCCTGAGGTGTCTGTGACTCACACCGCAGGTGGGACAGCACGAGGCACCTGGTGAAGGAAGCACTCAGTCTACTGCAGCTGCAGAGGATTCTTTAGACCGTGGCCTGGGCACGGGTTCATGCGCGTTGAAAGGGAATTAATTAGAAAACGTATTTTAACTTCGCAATTTGAATCTTGCTACTGAAAAGACAATAGGATTCCACCGAGCCTCCTGTCTGCCCACTCCAGGACCGAATGAGAGGGCACGGGAAACATTCAGACACCTGGTCACAGTGTGCGTGTTTGCACCTGCTGTAAAGCAAGTCGGGTTTCTGGGCGGAAGAAACAGGAGGCTCGTCGCTGGGGGGAAGAGGCCGGTGCTGCTGTGTGACGTCATCGCCGGCGCCCACGGCCGCCATTCCCGGGCCGGGCTGTGGGCTGCGTTCACACCCGGGGTCTCCGTGGCATTGGCTGTGATTTGGTGGCTGTTGCTCTGGTGGTGGCGGGCCTGTGTCCCGCTGGGGAAAGCTGAGCGCTAGTTTGCTGGCACCAGCTCCCAGGTGCCCTTTATTTTTAAGTGGCCAGTGCACTCATGGCAGCTCCTGCATTGGGCATCTGTCCCTGGTGGTCAGTGCGTCATAGCTACTGGTCGGGCAGACAGCCTCTTCTATACACACGTATAGATGGGCTCACGCAAGAGCATCGCAGAGCTCCTTGCACCGGCTGCTACCCCACGTGACTGACTACAGAAGAAAACCACTCAGTGGCCCCCTGCCACCTAGAAAACCCCAGCTGCCACTTACTGTGCTTCTTCCCAGCCTTTCCCACGCGGCTGTGCTTTCAGAAAGGACCATTTTGCCTCTTTTCACGTAGCCTGGTCTTAGGAGCACTCTGTCCATAAGAACCCTCAGCAGCGGGGGTGGGCTGCAGGGCATCCACACCTGATGCTCCTCCCCTCCCCGCACGGCATGCTGGGCTTCGCCACCTTTCCAGACGAGGGCCATCTTGGTGCACACGCCCCCGAACATTAACTTCTGTCTGCCTATTTTTGCAAATGTTTTCCTTACTGTGCGTTTTTAATAAACTATTTTATTTCACAAACTTATTTTCTTCCTTTGCAATTTCCTCCATTGCTTTTATGCTTAATGTTTTTCCTATTCTAAATTTGATAAACTTCACCGTTTTTTAAAAACTCTGGCTTGGGAGTTTGCTTTTCTTCTGGTATAGATGTTAAGTGAAGACAGAACTCCACTTCCCCAAATGGTGAGCCTGCGGTCTCAGCGCCACCTGTGATTTATATACTCTCCTCCCAGCCTCACGGGGGGCGAGGCCCCCGCAGGGAGTCGGTGGGCAGCAGGCCATGCCACGCTGTGGGAGAAGCGGGCCGGGGGAAACCTCTGGTGACACCCAGCTCCCCGGGCCCCGGCCTCGGTCCGCCGCAGGCCACAGGGTTCTCGCCGGCCGGCACTCAGGCTCCAGCCGCGCCCGGTCTGTGCTGCCCGCGCTGCTCGCCCTCAGTGAGATGCAGGTGCAGGCGCTGCCGAGGCCCCTGCCCGCCCCGGCCACCAGGAGGGAGGAGCCGGGCCTGGGCGCAGCGTCTGGAGCAGCCGGTGACGGGCACGGGCACTGAAGGCAGAAGAGACTCACTGCCCTCAGGGATCAGTAACCAGAACATACGAGTACGTTTGCTGTAACATGAAAGTGAACCAGGGAAACACAAACACGCCTTTACCTTTTAACGCACTGTCATTGGCACCAAAGAAAATTGTAACCGCTACGGGGCTGTCCAAAGCATTCCCTTTCCTGATCAGTCTCGGGAGGATGATTTTGGCCCATCTAGTATTATAGCCTGAGAATCCACGATTCAGAACATCACATTTTCTGAAATGAAAAGTTAAAAAACATTTAAGATGAATGTCAGGCCAGGCGTTTCAGCCTCATAACCCACCTGCTGGGAGGGCAGCGCGGGGCTGGGACCGCTCTGCCTGCCCTGTTCTCTGACAAACCCTGCCCACCCAGAGCACGCCGCCCACCCTGAGTGACGGGTGACTGCCACAAGGGGGCGCTCTCTGCAGACCGCTGGTTTCATGCCTGGCACAGGGAGCTTTTAAATGCAGGTGACAGCAGACAGGTATTAACCGGGCAAGTCTCACAGGCCTGTGGTTGGCAAACTGCGGCTTGCGAGCCACATGCGGCTCTTTGGCCCCTTGAATGTGGCTCTTTCACAAAATACCACGGCCTGGGCGAGTCTATTTTGAAGAAGTGGCGCTAGAAGTTGTTTAAGTTTAAAAAATGTGGCTCTCCAAAGAAATGTCAATGGTTGTGCTGTTGATATTGGGCTCTGTGGACCAATGAGTTTGCCGACCACTGTCATAGGCAGAAAGTGTCTTAAGAAGCTGGTCTTTCCTCGTAATTACTCTTAATTCTGAAAAATAACAAGCTGCTAATTAAGTGGCCTTCTAGCACTCACACCTGTAAGCTATCAAGTGAGATTTTAGTGCTAAAATGAACTATTTACAAAACCTACACGGTGAAACATTTAAAATTCCTGGAGCTTCTCAGGCCATTTTAGTGCTTAGTTTTTCAGCATCTGTTTGTTCAGAAAAGGTTAACGGCGCCCGGAAAGTCCAAGCGCTGGCTGTTCCAGGCAGCCCGCCTCAGCGGCGCAGGCGAGCTGTCCTGCCGCCCCGCACCTGAGCAGGCGCTGCTACCACGGTCCCCGCACCGGCCTGCCCCGCCCGCCCGCCCGCCTCACCCTCCGCTGTGGCCTGTGGCTCAGGGTTCCAGCTGCAGCGGGATCCGGAGGCACCCGAACAGCCTCGGAGCCGGCAGCTGCAGCAGGAGGCAGCGTTTACCCAGCCCGCACCGGGTTTCAGAGGAAAACGGACGGACAGATGGGGGGTGCCTGCATGTGTTTGGATCACGTCACTTAAATAAAGGAAGCATTTGGGACTAGAAAAAGCGGGGTGCACTTTTCATTGTCTAGTTTAGGGGACAGAAAGAGAGGAGAAAGCGAAGACTTGAAGACACAGCTCACATTCAGAAATAAGATTTGTTCTTGGTGTTTCATGTTGAGGAAGAAAATTATGAAGTAACGATAAGCACACGTCTTCAACGGAGGAAGAGGCAAAATTCCTGCTGATCAGTTACTGAGACCCAACCCAGATACGCGTGTCGGTTTTTATTTTTTGAAATATATACATTTTTACCGATTTCAGAGAGGGAGAGGTAAGACATCAGTGATGAGAGGGAATCATTGATTGGCTGTCTCTGCACGTTAGACTGAACCCGCAACCCAGACATCCGCCCTTGACCGGAGTCGAACCCGGGACCCTTCTGTCCGCAGGCCAACGCTCCTTCCACTGAGCCGTACTGGCTAGAGCTTGTGTCTACTGTTTTTAATCGGGAAAATATTTGTAAATATATGTTAACCTCTTTTTAAAAATTTGTACTTTTTCTTAACCAACTTTTAAATATTTTTTTTATTGACTTAAATTTTTTTAGAGAAAGAAAGCGAGAGGGATAGACACATTGATGGGAGAGAAACATCATCCAGAGGCCGCCTCCTGCAAGCCCCCTACTGGGGATCAAGCCCTGAAACCCCCAAACCCCGCCTGTGCCCTGACCGGAACGGAGCTGGTTCCCGCGGAGCCGCACAGCCGGCTATTTAACCTCCTGAACCGTGACACCGCCTCCTGTTCACCAATTCCTCAGCAGACTCTTCAGATACCAAAATCATTCCTCTTTCTGATACAAAGAGGATTTTGGAGGGAAAAACCCTCTATTGAAACTGTGTTAAGAATCTATTCTGCATTCTTGCAACTGAACTCACTAACCGTTGAAGTCAGACCCACACAAAGCCCGGAAAAGGACCGGTCGCCTTTCCGTGAACAGCTCCATGTATTCCCCACAGCTTACAGGGTGGAAAGTTCCTGAACAGCCCATGGTGGAAAGTTCCTGAACGCTGAGGCCCAGGCTTCCTCCTCTCCGAGCCCCGTGCACAGACCCGGAGGCAGCCGAGCCTGACAGGGCGCTCGGCCCTCTTTCCTGAGCCGCGGCTCGTTTCCCGTCAGTCAGCACTCAGGTGCTCAACTGGTGAGAGTGCAGCCCAGGTGCACCCGGGCTGCGGGTTCGATCCCGGGTCAGGGCACATTCCAGAACCAACCACGGAACACAGATGGATGTTTCTCTCTAGAAGCAAGCAATAAAATAAACATTAAAAACACCAACACTGCTCACCTGACCAGCTTGTCAGCCAGGGACGCACCCCATCCTTCAGGTTGGAAAGAAAACTGGAGAGAAAGCAGCCCGTTAGTAATGTCCACGTCCTGAGGCCATTTTGGCCGCCTCCCCGCCCGCCCCCGGCTGGCCTTCCCCTCCTCTCTCCGGGGCAGGCAGGGCCACCCTCGCCCTCCCTGGCCACGAGCGGCTTCCTTCTCCACCGGGGACCTGGGTCAGAAGAAACTCCTCCCAGTCCACCATCCAACCGTGTGTTGAGCTGGGAAACGAAGCCACGTTGCCAGCACCAAGGGTGACTCCTTGCAGAACTCGGGGTGCGCCTCCCAGACACCCCCATGGCACCTGGAAAGCCCCTCCCTGCGCAGACGACGCCCCGGGAGTGCAGTCTGGTGCGGGAGTGTCTGACACGCCCTCGCGGAGGAACGGGGTTTCCGAGTGTTTCCCCCACGGGAGCTGGAACGATCCCGGTGACAAAGCCTGCTTCATTCTCGGGCATCTTCCCGGGGCTCAGCCCGCCCCAGGCCGCAGGGGGCGGCTCCGCGTTCCCGCCGGCACGGGCGGCGCGGGCCTCGCGGGCCCCCAGCCGACGGCGCCGCCGCGGCGGGAGCCGCTCCAGCTCGTGCGGCGGGAAGAACGGCCGGCGCCTGACTCCCCCAACGCCCGACAGGCAGGGCCGGGGCGGCCTCGGCCCCCGCCCCGGAGCCCGGAGCCCGGAGCCCGCGCGTCCCCCGGGCCGGGACCTGGGCGCGGGGCGGCGCAGGCCGTTACCCCGGACGCCGGGCGCACCGCCCCCGAGGCCGGTGCCCAGCTGCCGCCCCGGGGCGCCGGGCGGGCGGGTGACCTCGGAGGCGGGCGGCGGGCGGGCGGCGCGGCCTTCGGTGAGGCCACGCCCGCGGCTCTCGGGAGGGCCGCCGCCGAGAACGGCGAGACAGCGCCCTCTGAGGGCCGCGCCGGGGCCTGCAGGCGGGCCGGGCGGCGGTACCTGGGTGATGGAGTCTCCGAAGAGCAGCACCCGAGGCCAGAGCAGCGAGCTCCCGCAGCCCAGGCCCTCGCACAGCGCCATGCCCGGCGGCTGAAGGGCCCGCAGGCGGATATCCGGGCGGGGCCGCGGCGGGGGCGGAGCTAGGGGCGGAGCAGGGCGGATATCCGGGCGGGGCCGCGGCGGGGGCGGAGCTAGGGGCGGAGCAGGGCGGATATCCGGGCGGGGCGCGCGGCGGGGGCGGAGCTAGGGGCGGAGCAGGGCGGATATCCGGGCGGGGCCGCGGTGCGCGGCGGGGGCGGGGCCGCGGCGGGGGCGGGGCCGTTTGCTGTTCCTGAGCCGTTAGGTGCGGCCGCCGCCCCGGAAGCCCACCTCCCAGCCGCCTGGCCGGGCTCCCGGTCAGCTCAGCCGGGGCGACTCCGAAAGGAGAGGGGTTGGCGCCGCCGTCCGAAGCCGGCTGGAATGTTCCAGCAAATGGCGAGGAGCGAGACGCCCGGCGGCCAGGGGCGACCCGGGCGCCCGCCCGCCGCCCGCCACGCTCCTAGCATCGTTTCTGTAAATGGTGACCCGTCCACCCGCGCAGCGCCTCACAGCCGTGGCTCGAAGGGCCCTGGGAGCTAACCTCAGAGGAAGGGACCCCTCCAGGCATCTGGCTCCCGGAGACGTGCTCACCTGGACCCTCCGGGACCGATGGGACCGCCGGGGCCACGGCTGTGGGAGCGGCTCCGGCCCCGCCCCGCCTCCTGCTGCGAGAGGCTGAGATGGTCTCTGTGACCCGTCCTCCCGCTCGGCCGCCGCCTCTTGAATAAACTGGATTTTCCTTCCATCAGCTCCGGAGCCACAGGCAGCTGTCACCGAAGGACGCACTCCGCACACAGCCGCCTCTTGTTAATAAACCGTGTGCTCACCACGGACCGATGGTGTTGACTCGGGCCCTGGTGGCGCTCAGTGGTTAGCGCAGGCCCAGGGACTGAGGATCCTGAGTTTGATTCTGACCAAGGGCGGCTCCCGGTTTCAGGCGTGACCCCCAGAAGGGGGCGCTGGGGAGGCAGCTCATCCATGTGTTTCTCTCCTCCCTCTCGGGTGAGGATTAACCAAACAGTAGTTCACGCCTGGCATGTGCTGGTGTCGGGCAGCAGACTCAGAGTTTGGCCTCTGGGAGGATTAGGTTCACCGAATACACGGAAAAGTGGGGGTGCCAGGAGGAGGGTGAGGGTGTGGGATTACTGAGGCAGGGGGAGTCTTCGCAGACTGAACACGGTTTTGCGGAAGGTGGGTGGCCGATGGGACAGGGTGTGGGGAGATGAGGAATTTGAACAGACCCTGTGGCCAGTCGCTAAGGGGACTGAAACCGGAACCCAGGGGCCGAGGAGAGCCGGGGAGGGGGGCCTTGTGGGAGGAACCTCAGGAGCCCCGGGTGTGCGCCCAGGAGGCCGTCCCCTCCACCCCACGGTGACACGTGATGTCCTGGAGGAGCCACGCGGGCCGGGAAGCGGAGGGCCGGGAGCAGTGGTGCCGGGAAAGCTGCCTGCCGCTCACGGCCTGGCCCCGGGGTCCCGCAGGAGCCTGGCTGCAGCTGGAGAGGCAGCCGGGGACACGGCGCCACCCAGTCTCGAGGCTGGGCATTCCCGGGAGCCACGGGGGGAGCTTCCACACGCGGCTGCTGGAGGACCCGCATGCGAACCACCCACTTCCCACGCGCACACGTGGGCACCCGTGTTCTGTGCCCCACGTGCCAGGCGGAGCCCGTAGGCCAGGCCAGGCGCTCGGACTTCATGGAATCACGGTGAAGCCCGAGGGCTCCAGCAGGCGGCTGACTGCTGCTGTGCGCCCTTCCTGAGCCCCAGCTGCTGCGTGTTTCCCACATGGGAGGCCGGCCCTCCTCCCTCGAAAGGTTCTGCAGAGGAACCACCTGTTCCTTGTTGCCTAAAACGTGGCTCCACAGGTGGCCGGGCTGCCGTGGTGTCCGAGCTCGGCCTGCACGGGTGTGGGTGTGTGGCTGCAGCAGGGAGCGGTGGGAAGAGCTATTTAGAATTCTTACCTCCAAGTGGTTACTCCGAGGGAGGGACAGGGGAAAGGACACGCCTTCTTGCTGTAGGTCTTCAGGAAGACGTTACACGTGTGTTTTGTAGCTTGAACTGTTAGAAGAGCCTGGCCAGTGTGGCTGGGTTGAGAGCACTGAGAGGTTACCAGTTCGATCCCGTTAGGCGACACAGCCAGGTTTTGGTTTTGATCCCTGGTCAGGGTGCATACAGGAGGCAACTGATCGATATTCCTCTCCCTTTAAAATCAATAGAACATATTAATTTTTCAAAGTAGATTTTTAATCCCAGAGAGGGAGAGGGATAGAAACATCAATGATGAGAATCATAGATCGGCTGGCTCCTGCACATCACCTACTGGAGACTCAGCCCGCAACCTAGGCATGCCTCCCTGACTGGAATTGAACCCAGAACCCTGCTTTATCCAATGAGCAAAACCAGCTAGGGCTAACTATAATTTTAAAAAAATTTCATATGACCCTTAGACCTATAGTTTGGGCCAAAGACAAAGAAGTTGGCTCCATTACAGAAATAAATGTATTTCATTTCACGGAACAAGATTCACAGTGAAGTCTGTCACCAAAGCACAGGAAATGGGTGGTCAGTGGTAATAAGTTTATAAGACACAAGAGGTGAGGCCTGACCAGCGTTGATGGAAGTGAGTGGCTGGACAGCTGATGTCTGTAGCTGGACTGGGGCTGTGAGGGGAGGAGGGACTCACGCACAGCGTGTCCCTCTGCAGAGGAACCATCGCCTGCTCGTTGATTAGATGCCGAGTTAGCCCTGCAGGGTGACCGCCCTCAGCAGCAGCACCTGATGGGCCTGTGCCATTTGCCAGTCTGCATGCTGTGTGCCTCAGGAACCGGGACTATCAGCTTACATATGAAACAATTCAGGGCACCTGAATACCCTCACACAGGAGACATAAAAAGAATCACCTTCCTGTCTCTGAAATTGAATACATAGCTATTAAACAGAGGAAATATCACTGAACCCCAAAAGCTGTAATTTCACAAATGTAGAAATTAAGGAACTTGGCAAGAGGATCAGGAGGGAAAAGATAGAAAGGGGGCTTAAAACTTGATAATCTAGAAAAATTAAGTCAAATTCAGAATATCAATATGAAAATAAGTTATTGTGCATTTTCTTAAAATGTATATAAGACATACCGGTTCAGTTGCTATGAACAGACTTAATGAAAAATCCTCGCCGGAGTACGTGTTTATTGATTTTAGAGAGGAAGGGAGAGAATTTCGATCCATTGACTCCTGTATGCACCCTGACTGGGGATCGAACATGCAACCTGACCGGGAATGGAGCCGCACGTTGTGGTGCAGAGAACCCTGATCCAAACAGCAGGGCTCCGAGCAGCCTGGCAGGGCGCTGTGAGCAGAGTTTTACAGTTTATTGGGAGCGGCATCCGTGCCCAGAAGTGGAATCAATAAATCCTACACGTTTATTCAGCATTCAGAGCAATGGACAGATCAGGTGGTAATTGTGGTGTGCTAGCGACTGGAATGAGAGCCGCTGGCCGTCCAGAGTGGAGAGGCCGCCCCAGGCAGGAACGTGTTTCCCGGTAAGTGACAGCAGCGGTCAGTGCACCGGCGTGAGGGCCTCGTACAGTCTCTGCGCGGCCAGCTCCACCATTTCCCGGAGCGACTCGTCATCCTCGCTTCCTTCCTCGCACTCGGCAGTCTGCAGGAGGAGACACAGACGTTACTGTACGGCAGGGAAGTGACTGCTCTTCCAGCACACTCATCCCGGGCGGGGCGGAGGGGAGCAGGAGGGGGCACCCAGCCCTGCGCCCTGTGGGCGGGCACGAGCTCATAATCATCTGGCTCCCTTCCAGCTGTAAACACTGTGCTGTTAAACACTTTGTGTAAAACCGAGGAGAGAAACACCCTTAATTCTGTTAACCTTTCAGCGTGTGACCTTCTAGCCTTTAGCTTTACGTACAGACTTCTTACGGGCTGGAGCGTAACCTGCCCCACTTAGCGATCCGGCGGACACTGCGCTGGGCGGCACCAGCGTCCCCTGGCCGCCGGTCAGCCTGTGTGAAATCACTGCTAGTGGCACAGACAGGGCGGCTGGGAACCACGATGGGGAAGTTCTCAGTTTACTTTTCTATTGAGGAAATAATCAAATAATCTCCTAAATAATCAAAGACCATGCAAAAGAAATTTTAAACACACGTCATCTGTGTAGTGTAACTGTTCTAATCTCCGGAACAGCCCTGCATGGCTCCGGGGATAAGAAGGAAAAGGTCATATATAATAATTTCAACAATAAAGATTTAAACTAAACAAAACAGCCCTGCGAGGCAATGAATTTCGCTCAGGCCTGTGAAGTAATTATGCAAAGTGGGCTGGCGTGAGATCAGAGGCGCCCCGCCTCAGAAGCCCCGGAGCCCGCTGGTGCCGGACTAGGAGCCCTGAGCTGGCCCGGGTGCCGGCCAGGGAGGCCACACAGGGATCCGGTGCCAGACGGCCCCTCGGAAAACAGACGAGAAAGGAAAAAGCAGGAACATACAACTTCTCCTATGGGGTGGGCAAAGCAGGTTTGTAGCTATGAATACGGGACATACAGACAACTGTATGCCTACTTTTGCCTCACGTTGGTAGAGTAATATAAACAAAACTTGTAAAAAATAGAAATAAAAAAATAGGAAGAAACTGGAAGGAAATGCTAAAACACAGGCGTGGGGTCACAGGGTTCTCTGCTAGGCTTGGAGTCGCAGGTGGTTTTGCC